TTAGTATGGCCTGAACCTTAACTTATTCCTATGCTGGTTCACAACAACCAGGCTTAAATATTTGCTTGCAAATGTAACTTTTGGGATAAGGCAAAAAGAAGGGAAGCCATTTCCAATATATGCATGCTGTTTCTTTGATAATAAATGCAAAAACCTGTTTTTTCCCTGAAGTAGTGCCTGTTCTCAAAGATTTGTTGTGAAGCCATACACACTCAATTTACATACATGGAAATGTGGGTGTTTACTAGCGCTGCTGAGGTTACTCAAGATCACATTTTCTGAAGACTTTAGATATGCAAACCAAGCACAAACAAATTTTAAGCGGCATAGGCTGCTCATGGAAATGTGAAAAACCTACTGACGCTGTATCCCATGTGCTCTGATACAAGATAATCTTTGTTTAATATTGTAGGCCAAAAGCGCAAAGTGTCCCTTTCAGAAGACACATCGGCAGAGGACTTCTTTACAATGGAGTAGAGTTCACTGGTTGGGGAAAGCAGTAAAGCCATGTTTTAAGTTTAGTCTTTAAAGGACAAGTTCATCTTTTGCTAACAAAAAAAAAAACAAAAAACCCAATAAATGCACATCTTTTACAGGTAAACAAATGTGCATTTTTTTTTTGTTGCATGAGCCAGTAAACCATTGCACCAACGATCAGCAGATCCCTGGTGCTGTGCAGGTCTCCTGCAGACCTGTCAGTATATCCGCTTGCCTCTACGGGAAAAAAGATATACTGATAGGAAGATTCTGAAAACTACAAGCAGTCAGCCACAATGGCTGTTGGGACTTGTATATTATTCAGAGAAACTACACGGCTGCGTTTGTTTTCTTTTTTTTTTGACAGCTAACAGAAGATCCCCCACTAGCTGTCAAAGTGGGGGAGCAGAGAGGAGCAAAGATCGGTCTATTCATAACATGTCACACCTTGAGTATGGGTGTAACATGTTATGAAAGGTGAACTTATCCTTTAACAGGCATGACTGTGTTCAGGAATTTTTTATACATGAAAAGTAACTCTAGCAAGGTAGCTAAATGGTTAGCACTTCCACCTGGCAGTACTAGGGTTGTTGGGTCAAATCCCAACCACGGCACCACCTGCCTGGAGTTTGCATGTTCTCCCTGTGCCTGTGTGGGTTTCCTCCCACACTCCAAAGACATGCTGATAGGTAAACGGGCTGCTGTCTAAAATTGACCCTAGTATGTGTATGTATGAATGTGAGTTAGGGACCTTAGATTGTACACCCCTTGAGGGTTGGGGACTGATGTGAATGTACAATATATACGTAAAGCGCTGCGTAAATTGATGGCGCTATACAAAGTACCTGAAATAAAGAAATTCTTCATTAGCTATATCTTTAACCAACTACAATAAAATAAACAGCAATTTCAGAAAGTATGAAATATTAATGTGAAAACATTGCTTTAGAGGGTCCCCATCTGTGAATATATGGTACAGATGTTACTGCATTGTAGTGTATCACTATTAAGGACAAAAATGTATGAAATAAAATGACTTTTTTTATAAAAACAGAACACTTTTTTTTATTAAAGAATTCACAGTGAACTAGTTTTTTTACTTCATACAGTATAACTTTTCAGAGACAAACAAAATAATTACAAACAAGTCAGAGAAACATGGTAAAGTCAGGACTGACAGTCTCTCACTGTTGTATAAAATATTTTCTTTACTTTATACATGACATATATGCTAATTAGGTTGTAGTGCTGAAAGGATAATTTGCAGGTGTTAACTTTGTCAAGGCCTTAAAAATCCTTTGCAATAAGAGAGGTACACAGTAGGATAACATCTATGCATCCTCCTAACACAAATCAGTTAGGGTAATAAGGTCACAACATGACACAGACTTTATAAAATGAGGCACACCGCTGTGGAATGAACGACCTTTCTGTATCCTTTGTCTACTTATATGCATACTTCTAAGAAATTACCCTGCAATGCTTTATGACTTCATGGATTAGCAATACATAACAGACAGAATGATTAGCTATTTAAATACCCCAACCACAACCAAATCTACATCTCACTCATTCTTAAAGCACTGTAATACCCCATAAGACCAATTTCCCCATCTACTCCATACGCACAGAACACTCACTCCTGCATTCATTCCCCCAAAGAACAGGATTCTGCATTGCACACCAATGCAACACAGCTACCTATCCTGTCTGCTATGGTCTACAAACAATCCCTCAATACCTAATGCATCAGCCTCTGACCTGCTAATTCATATAAATCACTGTGGTTCCCTTACATGTATTCTGGAAATATTAATATACTTCCAGAACATTCCATAATTAATCCATCCTAACGGAAACCTGCACTTAAAATACATAGAGACTGCCACTATGAGCGCCTCCTAACTTTCTGAGTCATTAACCCGGCACATGCATGCAGATAAAGTCAGAACTCCTAATCCGCACCATTTCAGGTAGTGGCTCAAAAGTATTAAGGCCATAAGACCAGCACGACAGAAAAGGAAATAGTATTTGTAGAAGGTGTAGAAATAGTATTTGTAGAAGGAGGTGTAGAAATAGTATTTGTAGAAGACGATTATCCTTATAATTTCATTTTTTTTTAATCTACAAAAAGTGAAAGTACTGAATGAGAGAAAAGGCTTAAAAGGAAAATGTTTGATATGATTGATGGAAACAAACACAGACATTAACATCCTTTCAACATAAACCATTATAGAAAAGTTTGCACAAGTCAAATTTTTAAATTGGCAGATAAAACAATCTATGCCAACATCCACATACACAAAAGCAGATGATACAATTGCCAAGCTTTCTTTTTTACACAACCAAAGGCTCTCCCCATCACCCATTCTCCAACACACACTCATACACCTTCTAAATCACCCATTATTAATGGGAAAAGCAAAAAAATAAAAAAAGCGAACAAAAATGTAACCAGAGATTTGGGTCTATTAAAACTAGTTCAAATTTAATTTAAAAAAAAAAAAAAAAAAAAGTAAAGCAGAATACAAATACTGTATTGAAAAGGCTACCAGTGAGACTAGGTCTAGTGCAACAACATCGCCGACTGTAGAGTCATACAGACTGGGAAGACATATGACAAAAACTGATTATTATTCTGTGGGCAACTGCTCCATTTCATATAAATTAGCTCTATCCTTTCACAACTGCATCACAAAAACTAAAAATGTATATATTCCTACAAATAGATAAAATAAGCCCCAAATGAGCAGCTGAAAAATCTGTATTTGCAAGTTAGAATGTCAGCATGTTCTTGCACTGTACCTAGTGCCACTGGACAAGTAGATATAAATGCGTGTGCAATATATATATATATATATATATATATATATAGATAGATATATATAGAGAGAGAGATAGAGAGAGAGAGAGAGAGAGAGAGAGACACGAGAGATACACACACACATACACGTATACATAAATATATATATATTTATATATATATATATATATATATATATATATATACACACACACACACACACACACATACATACATACATACACACACACACACACTGTATAAACATACACAGCATTAGATCTCGAAAAAATATCCATACACACGTTTAGATATATCAATCAAAAAAGTAGGGTGTATTTAGGCTTGCTTCACACTTATGCGTTGTTGTAACGGATGGTAAAATGCAAGTAATTTAGGACAGCAACCCAACGCACAAATAGAGCAGCCTGCAATGCACCCACTCGTCAGCACACCAGAACACATAAGCCTTGCATTACGGTGAGCTGCACTACTAAATGCTGCAGGGACATGTTTTCCATTGCCGCGCGTTGGCACATCAAAGTGGGAGCAGTAACGCACTGCAAAGGAATGTACAAGTTTAAAGCAGCCAATAGACTTTTTTTTTTTTTTTTTTGTTCAACCAGCAGGCTGACTGAAAAAAAATGACTATTCCCCCAACCACACATTTGGTGGACAGGAGAATCCTCCCACTGTGTCTTTATATTCTGATAGGGAGGCTTCCCCGCTTTCAGAATATGCCAACAAGCACTGCCAGCTACAGCCAGCTGTGCTGATCAATCAGAAAAAAAAAAAAAAAAAAAAAATAGGGCTGTTGTACAGTAGTCAATAGGCAGATCGACTTCTGTAGAACCACTCTCTGCCCATACACAGATCAAAATTTAGCCGGCCCCTGCTGAACTGGCCAAATTTCGCTCCATGTATGGACAGTTTAAAGGAACTCTTCGCAAAGTAGATTCCCACAGCCTATTTTTCCTTAAACACATTATGACAAAATAAACAGTGGGAAAGCGTCAGAAATTAATTTTGTTGATGCTTTGTTATTTGGCATGACCCATAAAAATACTTTTATATTTCAAACAGACAAATTTATGTACACTGAAATCCAAAAAAAAAAATATTGTACAGTTTTATACACACAAGTTCAAGCTGAAATGCATGGCTATAAAAGCAACGTTTACGGACATTTTCTGCCTCCTTTCTTCCTATGCCTAGCTGTCCAAAGCTCCAGGTGGCACATGTTAATTTGCCAACTTGTGGAATTCCAATTGCAATGAGTAGAAAAAAATCAAAATGAGCAGAATTTTTTTTTTTTATAATTTAAAGCTTCTACTGAAATGGAGTAAATTAAAATTAAACCTTATCAGAGACTAGTGTAATTCACAATCCAAAGTCAGACTTGTAAACCTTATTTAAACACAATGCAAATAAATAATGCATAGCAAGCATAAGTGATGACAGAACACTGAGGTATACAGAATGTATGTATGTACGGAAGCGAATATGTACCATATACCTATACACAAGCACACACACAAAACCACAAGCAGACTATTCAGTAGTTGGAAGCATTCTGTATTAAAAAAATGGAATTGTGACGAGCTCAGTGCAGAGGGAATTGATTGGGTCCTTATGTCCACAAATGTCATTCTTTAGCGGATATACTTCTTATGTAACATATTCAAAGTCTTCTCACTAGATGAGTGAATGATGAAAAAAGTCACTGGATAAAGGCGATATCTGGAATCTTTCTCTCGGTCTGTAAAACAACAAAATGCAGGTTAAGGGCGTAATAGTGCCAGGGCTGGATACAAACAAACAAACGACACACACATTTTTACCTTTAGCCTCATAAAAATCTGTACAGACTGTTCCCAGTCCCATCCATTGTCTTGGAGACACCTGAAATAAGATACAATATTTGTAAGAGGAACGTGTTACTAAACCCAGTGTCCTGCATTCACTATATCACCCAGGACCCTGCATTCACTATATCTGGTCTCCCAGGACCCTGCATTCACTATATCTGGTCTCCCCGAACCCTGCATCCACTATATCTGGTCTCCCAGGACCCTGCATCCACTATATCTGATCTCCCCGGACCCTGCATCCACTATATCTGGTCTCCCAGGACCCTGCATTCACTATATCTGGTCTCCCAGGACTCTGCATTCACTATATCTGGTCTCCCACAGTACGCAGAACATGGAAATGCAATTATTTTAGTAAATATAAACTGCTAAATACATTTTCCCATCAGCAGTTAGAGCAGTCTTGTGACTTCTATCAGTGTTCAGCAGAGCACTGGTTAAAGCTTGTAGGAAGAGTTTTCTCTAAGAGGATGCAGGACCTCTAATCTTTGTCTGGGCAGTGCTGATTGGCCCTGTGCTGATCACATGCAATATCTCAAGAAAAAAAAAACAAAACAAAACAACCTCTCTAGCAATACACACCAAACTGAGCATGTGCAATGTCTCCAAAGGATATGTCTTATCAGGAGATAAGAGGGAGACACTGGAAGAAGGGGAGGAGCAGAGAAGTCAGAATCAAACAGCATTTTTACACAATGCAGAGAATTAACTCCCTCAGGTTCCACAGTGAGTATAACAAGCATGCTTTACTGCATATACAGACTGATTTTACTGTTGTGGGTTTAGGAACACTTTAAAAGGAACCTGTAATATATATAATTTATATTTAAAACAAAAAAGTAGGGAGTGACACTGGTGAAATTTTTTGCCATCTGTGTCCCATTGGGGAAAGAAACAGATTTTACAGTATATACAAAAATCCAAGTTTCTCATGTTCATTAACCGCTTCCAAACCGCCCTATAGCAAAAATCTGCAAAATCTGGGTAGGGGGTGTGCACGACGCATGCGTGCTCCCTACCCGCGCCACCATTCGCAGCCACGGCTGTCAATCACCGGGTCCAGGCCAATGATTACCGAGGATCTCCTACAGGGAGGAGCACTGTTTTGTTTACTAACAGTTCTCCTCCCTGTTAGCTCGGGCACTGCACAGCCATCCAAAGCAGTGTGCTTACAATGAAGCACACAGACAACCCCCTAGTAAAACACTCCCAGCACACAGTTAACCCTTTGATCGCCCCTCATGCTAACCCCTTACTGCACAGTGTCTGTTTTTTTTTTTTTTTTAGCACTGATCACTGTATTGGTGTCACTGGGGGTGTCAGTGACTCCAAGTCAGTTCCCCGCCCTCCCCCAATGTCAGAATGTCCACCGCAGTCCCGCTACAAGTCGCTGATCGCCACCATTACTAGTAAAAAATAAAATTCCAGTATCTATACCGCCATTTGTAAACACTAACTTTCATGTAAACCAATTAATTTACACATATTGGGATTTTTTTTTTTTTCAGCAAAGACTTATAGCAGAATACATTTTGGCCTAAAAGTATGACAAAATGTGATTTTTAAAAAAAAAATTTTTTACTGGCTATGTTTAAGAGCAAAAAGTCAAAAATATTGTTTTTTTTCCCCTCAAAATTGTCTTTTTATATATAGCAGAAAAAGAAAAAAGAAAAAAAAAAACAAAAAACGCACAGGCAATCAAATACTACCAAAAGAAAGCTCTATTTGTGGTGAAAAAAGGACGTAAAATTAATTTAGGTGCAGCATTGCAGGACTGCACAATCGTCAGTTAAAGTAACAGCGCCGTAAAGCAAAAAAATGGCCTGGTCAGGAAGGGGGGTAAATCATCAGGAGGGAAAGTGGTTAAAGGACACAGGATTGTGAGACTGTTGGGATGCCCCCAAAAGTAATCCAACTGAAGGGCGGGCAACTGTAACAAAATACTAATAGGCCCACATAACAATACAAGCTGAGGGCTGCCTGCAGCAAAAAGGACCTTGTGCCCAAAGCAAGCTTAAGGTTAGGCCAGAAAATCCACAGATATAAAATTTGAATGGAAAACCGGGGGGCAGCCTTGCAAATCTGGAAAACAGGTGCCTGATCTGCAAGAACCTAAGGAGGCGCTCACAGATCTAGTAGAGTGAGCTTTAATTGGAAGCTGGAACTACATCCTTAGGACTATATGCATGAACAATGATCTGTCTGCGACACCAAGAAATGGTTACCCTTTACAAGGACCATCAGGGGTAACTGAAAAGGTCAGTCTTTTAAATAGAAGTAGTGGCTGCAAGATCAACTACTACACCACAAGCTACATCTAGACAGTAAAGGCAAATCATATTTTGATATATTGGAGCAGGACAAAGACAGAAGAGCAACGTTCTGATTGAGATGAAAGATCGAAACTGCCTTGGGAAGGAAGGAGGCTCTGGACCTTCTTAACAAGTTAAGGCTGCCAGTTCAGATGTGCCGCAGAGGTGATGGCAACAAGGAAGGAAAACATCCAGTCTTCAGATGACAGAGCAAATGGTAGAGCTACAAAAACAAGTAGTGCTGAGGGCCCATAGCAAAATGAATGTAGTGCTCATGTGCTGAAAATAAGGGGACATGCAAGTATGCTTGATGAGGTCTACAGAGGCTGGAAAGTCTCCCTGGTGGAAGGAGGCTGTGACAGACTTGGGTTTTCTATGTAACATTTTTGGACCCAAATGAAAATTTAAAGTTTTCAGATCCATGACTGGACAAATATTCCATTTTTACGTTTTGAGAACTGCGAAGACTGCAGTAAAAGCCCTAAAACATTTCCACCATTGAACTATGGTGAGAACACCTTGAGACAAAAGATAGTCAAAAGAGAGCACAGCCTACATTTGTGCTAGGAGGGGAGGATTTGGGGGGAGGTGTTGTGCTAAGTGGGGGGGGGGGGGGTGATATTTGAAGGGATTGAGCATCGCCCACATTTGTGCTAGGGGTGTGTGTTGTGCTAAAAGGGGGGATTTGAAGGGGGAAAGGGGGGGATTTGAAGGGGGAAAGGGGGGGGGGATTTGAAGGGGATAGTGCTGGGAGATTGGAGCGGGGTTTGTGCTAGGAGTGGGATTTGGGAATGGGAATTTGTGCTAGGAAGGAGGATGGGGTTTGTGCTAGGAGGAGGAAATAGAGGGAATTTGTGGGGGTTGTGCTGGGAGAGGGGGATGGGGGTTCGAGCAGGATTTGTACTAGGAGTGGGGATCTGGGAGTAGGGGGTTTTGTGCTAGGAGGGGGGATTTGTGCTAGAAGGAGGAATTTGGAGGGAGGAAGAAGAGTTACAACCTAACATCACTGAACATGCACCTCCTGATGTGAACGAGCCCTCAGACTGGTGTACCCCGGGATTGTGCACAGTTTTAAAGGGTACCTTGACTGAAGAAAGGTTGAAAAACACTGCCATAAACCACATATCAGATTGCCTATAAAAGCTGGATCCTTTAGCATGAGCTAAGTCCACTCCACTGCATAGGGTCCACTTTCTGATAAAGGCTTCCTCAAACAGATTCTAGTCTGTAACACAGTTGGGAGGTTTGAATAACTCATCAGGAGTATTCCCGTCTCTCTACAGTGCGTCTTTAAGTAAGGTTTGTACAGGAAAGATTTTATTAGTCTTTGGACCTCTTAGGGATCCTGGAATAGTAACAGCGCTAGTAGAAGCCACAAGCTATGTGAACATATTTACGGTGATACACACCTCGACAGTAAGAACCAACATGGTTACATTATGCCTGGGCAGCTGCCTGTGACTCCTCAGGCACAAAATCAGCCAGCAAGGATTTGTGAGCCTTTCAGACAAATGTCTGTCAGCGGCAGACACGTCAGACAAGGATTCTGTGGGGGAAGGCATACATATGGCCTCTGAAGAGTCATACATATGGCCTCTGAGTCAGGTCAAACAGAGGCCAGCAACTCAAAAAAAACCTAGCAAGTTGGCCCATGAAATAAGTCAGATCAGAAAGAATACTGCAGTGTGTTTTCCTTCATCGTACAAAACAACCATGTGATCCAGTTGCGGTGCGGCTCCAAAAAAGTGCATGCATGTTTTTGGTGCCATGCAGTGCATTTGAGCCTATTTAAAATGACACACCGCACTGAATCACATGTGAATTGAACAGGAATGCGGTGTGGTTCCTGTGCAATACGCATGCAGGTTATGGTGTGAACTGGGGCTAACTCCTCAGCATGTTAACCCCTTCTACAGAGACCCATAGAAGAAGGGTTAACTTGTAAACACTTCAGTTCAGTTTTGGGCACCATTTCATAAAAAAAACATTGGGAAACTGAAGAAAATGCAGAGAAGGGAAACCAAACTGATAAGAGGCACAGAGGAGCTCAGCTATGAGGAAAGATTAGCGGATCTGAATTTCAACATACATAAATGGTCCATATAGTGAACTTTGTGTAGAGTTTTTTTTTACTTAAGGTCCTCACAAAGGACAAGGGGGCACTCTTTACGTCCAGAGGAAAAGAGATATCTTCAAATAGGGAAAGGCTTCTTTACAGTGAGAGCTGTGAAAATCTGGAATAGACTCCCTCAAGAGCCTGTTTTGGCCACCTCAGTAGGATTGTTTTAAAAAGGCCTGGATTCTTTCCTAATTTCATAAAATATAACTGGATACTTATATTTATGGGTAAAGCTAATCCATTTGCCTATTGGGGGGGATCAAGAAAGAATTTATTCCCCCCCCCCCAACTGGATTAACTGTGGGTATAGGATGTGTTTATGGAGGTGTTCGATTTGTGTGTTTTGTTGTGGGTTGAACTAGACGGACTTGTGTTATTTTTTCAATCAGACTGACAATGTAACTGAGTATGGTGACCAACAGTCACAACATAGGCTGTGCTGCAGCTCTGGACCTGGATGGCACTCTACAGCCAACTAACATAGTACACTAAGGCAGGAATTCTCAACCTTTTTTAAGTCAAGGCACCCTTTAAAATTATGGCTAATCTCAAGGCACCCCATTCTAACAATGTAAAAACCTATTCTACACACATCCAGTACACCAAACATGAGGATGTGATTTACTCTTCCAAAGCAAACACCTTTGTACACTGGTACTGACTAGTATTCCAATGTGGTCTCTCAGTTTCTCTCCCTCACTCTGCTAATGAGACAGAAAGGGGCAGGACAGGAGGCAAACAAGGAGGCTGTGCAGACACCCGACATCCTCATCAACAGATTATGTCATTGGTTGTTAGGATGCTGGCAGCTAGAAGGTCATAAAAGTGCACAATGAAAACCTGTGTCTTTATGTACAAAAAAGGCAACAAGATTGATCTACCTGCTGGCTTGTATACAATTTTTGGGCATTTTGCTAAGGCACCCCTGAAGAAGCCTGGGCACCCTGGTTGGAAAAGGCTGCACTAAGGTATGGAAGGAGTCTTAAGCATATCAATGCCTGAAGGTCACATTCCAGACAGGCCTCAACATTGTCCAAATCCAGCCACCAAAGCGAATACTGAGGATACAACAATAAGGATAGCTGGCATAAAGAGGCCAGCGTGTAAATGAACAGATAAAAAAAAAATGGCCAATAAAAAGGTTAAGCTGTTCTCAGGATAGAAAGTACGTCCATCTTCCAAGGAAAACTATTAAAGAATAAAGGCATGCTGGAATCTTGGGGGGGTTTCGGGAGCTGTTGGTTGTTATCCTGGCTGTTCCCTGTTTCTTTGCTGTCAGTGTCCAAATCATCCTGGTAGTACAATCAAAATGTCTCACAAGCCTCCATCCCTTCATAAAAAGGTGAGAAAAAAAAAAGATACAGGGAAGCATACAAGAATAGACAAGTTAATTTTTTTTTTTTACCCTGCAGAGAGAACACTGAGTATATAGATTCAGAAAAGCATGCAAAGATGCCAAAACCTTCCACATCTGCCTGAATTACTTACTTCTGAGACCACTCAAGGTTCATGCCAGAGTGTTGACTGAATGCCTGTACCATGTCTTGGGGTACAGGGGGTACCACAGGCACCGGACTACTTGATGGAGTTGGAGCTGGTGTGGCAAAGGCTTTACGAATTTCATCTGTACTTGCATTCCTTATGAACTGTTGATCATTTACCAAAAGAAGTCTAAAACAGAAGGATACACATTGGTTAAAAATTAACCTAAATATGTAGGTAAAAGAGGCCACAAAACATAAAGTCCACAAAGACATATTTAATCAGAAATGTGTACAAAGATAGGAAATCATTAGCATGTGGACACAGTGGTTTGTAAAGTTGGGGAATCCCAAGCCCTTTTTCCACTGATCATGTCAGTTTCAAGTTACATGCATGTAAACTTCCAAAAAAAAAAACAAACAAAGAAAACAAAAAACAAAAAAGCATTTTCCAGGTGCTCACTGTTCAATAATTGATTTCCAAGAACACAATAGAGAGAAGAACTTCAACAATTGAAGAACTTGGTTAAGGTCTTCAGTTTATGAAACGGAGATGCGTAATACCGTCTTGAGAATTAAACCTGTGATTTAGTAGAGAGCACCTGAAACCGGTTTTGTAAATTTGCATATTAAGATCTGGGATGTCTGCAGCATTCTGGCACAAAAGAGGTGGAAAATGTCATGCCCTGAAGGTCAGCCACCACTGCCTTTTGTCTATGAGCAGGGGTACCTCACCATCACTTGTCCTACAGCAAGCAATGCAAACAGCAACATGTCAAGGCTGCGGATGTCAATGGGATTTTCTCCTGCTCTCCTTGTCCATGTGTCACACCCCACACCTCATGATTGTTGTTGCCCCGCTCCACTATTCAGCATCCTATAGCTTCCAGTTTAGCTGCACAGGCAGTAGTCAGTGGTTCGGGACTGTCAAAGTGCTATTGTTGCCAGTATGGCTCTGCTTTTTTCCATCTCTCTGCTGCAAGCTCCACCTAATGACATCCTGCAGTTAGCAGGTGCTTTTGGGGTCAGAAATCTATCAGTGGACAGGCTTCTCCATACGCCACTTCTGTGCAATTCCCTTCAGAGATGCTGCCCTTTTACAACTGGCAAGAGCCAGTTGTAAAAGGGCAGCTCATTGGATGACTGCAGACTGCTTGCAGGCAGAGGGCAATCAGGAGTTGTAGTTTACCCAGGTGTACAGAAATACATGCAGAGTGCCCTGCAGGTCCCTTCCTTAGGCTACCACTGATGTGGAGTCAGATTAGAGCCCTGATATTACCTTTCAGTAGTTTAAGCATGAGAACATCCCAATGTAAACAAATGTATCATGGAGATGGGGAGGGAATCTTTACATGTTAAAGTTGAAATAAATCCCAAAATAAACAGCTTTTTAATCCCTGCCTTCCCATTATTGATAATCATATTGCATACGGTTTACAATAAATCACAGTGTAAATATCTTTTGGTCAAGACTGCTTTGACTGTGGAGTGTCCATGACATGCTTAACAAGGATCTGAATTCACTGCTATCCATTGTTAAAGGGGAAGAGAGTGCCCTCCTACCAGCTGCAGCAAGCCTTTCACTGACACACAGCAGAAAGAGGTGTGGGTGACATGCAAAGTCCAGGCACAGTTGTGTTTCATACTTTGCGTGTTGACTTTTGTGAAAAGATTGGACACAAGGTTTCCTACTTATGATTAAGGCAAATTTTATCTGATGCAAATGCAAGCAGCGCTTAACAGTGGACCAACACGCTGCTGTTCAAAAAGGAGAGAAGAAAAAAAAGTTGATGGACAGAAAAAGTATTGAGTCCAATCTGGATTAATATCTAGCAAGCAATAAGTTTTGTGACACTACAGTGCCTGCAGCACTGATCGAGCTGCGAAAATCCAACATGGCTGTTGTACAGAAACTGATCGGTAGATTGACTTTGGTACAACCACCTTGCCAATATATGGATCAAAATGTGGACAGTCCCAGCTATTTTTAATTTGAGATGCCATACAGTATTTTTCCTATAGTATGTAGGAAATTATGAGCTAAAGTACAATGTTGTGTGGGATAACAGAGTTACAAACTTATCAAAGCTCAGTATTCAAGAATCTGCTAGGCCATTCAATGTACATTGAGCCAGGAAAACGTCAGGAGAAACAGAAATATTCCTCTACTGTACGTGTTGCCATCTTTGGTACTGTATATCATCACTTCTGGTCTGCTTAACCAACTGGGTTAAGCTGGGATCAGGAGTAAATATAACCACTTAAAGTGGTAGTAAAGCGCCTTTTTTTTGTAGAGCCATCACAGGCGCTCTGAAGGAAAGGCATACCTGTGCCATTCCTTCAGAGCACTGTGCTGTGTCTGAGACATCATCGCGGCTCAGCCAGTCCGACCAATAGAGCTCGCAAACCCGTGCAGCTGGGGAGGGGTTTGGTTTAGGGTAAGTTTTACATAATGTGCTAATATGTGATGCATACTAGCATATTATGCTTTTACCTTGCAGGGGATTTTTTTTCTCTTTTTTTTTGGGATGCGGTTTACTACCTCTTAACCTGATGATTTTCTCTACTCTATATTGGCTGAAATAATACGATTTCTATACTCAGCACAAGATCCTTTTTTGGAGTATGACAGACATGGAAAATATTTCACCTTCATGTTATGCTGCCATCTACAAGAGGATTGGACACTGGAAAAAAAAAAAAACCCTGTAAGCCAATTGTAGGGGTGGAACCTGTGTCCCTCAAACACCAAGAAAATAAATTTTTGGCGAATACAAAAATCCTATTTTTCTTCTAGTCCATGAAGGGATACAGGAAATCTTTTACCTTTGGGTTGTCCACAAGCAATCCAACTAAGGGGGGTGGCAATACAGCAAACAAAGCGAACAAATTAGTGGTGCACCGAAATTAAAATTCTGGTGCCGAAACAGAAAATTTAGGATACACTTGGCCGAAAACTGAAATGACTGCATATGTGGGGGTAGGGAGTCTCAAATTTGTTATTTTTTTTTTAAATTTACTTTTTAACTTATGATTTTATTGCTATTACTAGGGGAATAGTCCCCCATGTGATAGCATATAAGTGACAGGTCCTCTTTGGGGGGGGGGGCTGTTAGTGTATGCAAGGAGGGAGCAGGAGAGGAGCAGTGTATGCAGTGAGGGAGCAGTGTATAAAGACAGGCTCCCTCACTTGCAGATGCTAAATGTCATTGCCTGTTTTTAAATGCAATTGCTGGCTTTTTTTTTTTCTTCACTATAGCGCCGAGGAGGAGCTGTCATTCGCCCCGCTGCTAAAGTAAGCAAAGAGGCAGGGTCACTGGGTGTAGCCTATAAGCGCTGGAAACAAATTCCCACCCCTTGGCATCTGAGATGAAAGCTAAGTGTCCGCAAAAGACTGACAGATGCCCCATTTTGGAAAGTAGGGGGCACACCTTTATGCTGAGTAAGGCTTGTCTGAGGGTTTGGCAGACTCCAAACTCCAGACCTTGCGAGTGTCCAGCTTGGGGGTTTGGACTTCAAAGGAGAAGTTCAGCTTTCATAACGTGTTACACCTATATACTGGCCCTGGTCCCCTGTTGTGAGAGCTAGCAGGGGATTTCCTCCCCTAGCTGTCACAATTTTAATAAAACGTCTGCTGAACGCTGGTGCAATGCTTTCCAGGCTCACAAAACAAAAAATAGGAAATGCACATTTTTTTTATCTGTAAAAAAAAGCATTTATTCTTTTTGTTAAAAGGTGAATTTGTCCTTCAAGATTGTGAGAGTGATGTAGCAAAAAGGACTTTCCAATGATGGATGAGCCTTTCAGGTCAATACCTTAGGCCTCTTTGAGGGAGATGGGTGCTCTTATATCCTTGATAACAGCAACCAGAGTAGATTCGAAGAGACACTGTCCCCATCAAATGCCATGCAGTGCTTTTAGATGTAGATTTCACAGTAAGCAGTTTGACCAAAGTATCCAGATCAGAATATGATCTGTTTATTTGCAGTTGCAGGAGCAGCATTAAGGAGATGCCTCCTTGACTGTGAAAAGCGGGAAATAGAGTGCATATTTCCACAGAAATAACTCATTCTGTACACTGAAATGATCAGCCTACTCACAAAGCAGGCCTTAAGAGCAAATTCTGATGCAAAGCCAGTGGCTCTGGACCCAGAAAGTGCTCTCATTACCAGAGTCTGAAAAGCGCATTATGTCAAACCCAGTGCTCAAAAGGTCACTTTCTAGGCTAACCCCACCAACGACCAGTCTAAGAGTCCAGACAAAGCACTTTCAAAAACCAAGTTGAGGACAGCTGGGCCACACAGCAGCATCAAAAAGTAGTTTCCTGAAAAAAATCTGTGTGCAATACAAGAACTTTATTTGCGCTCAACAGAAATTCTCTCTCTCCAGTGGTTGATTGGGGGACACAGGACTCTTTTACAAATAGGTATAGCTGCCACTTCCGGGAAGATGGACAATATGCAAAGCAATAGAGCACAGCACTCTAACAGCTTCACCCCTTCCTGCATGTGCAGTACACACTCAGGAGTAACAACCATTGGTAAAACCATGGAAATTGAAGGCAACCTTGCAAAGAATATTTTAACTGAGGCAACAGGTTGATGATGCATACAGAAAACCACATGGAGGAGACAGAGCTGTATCCCACAGTGAACTGCTGGAGAAAAGGGTTTTACAAATTTTCTATAATACTGTACAGATAAGATAAGTTATGTTTGTATAATGTGCCTAATATGCAGTTAAGTCAGACTTACCCTGCTTCATTTCCTGGCACTGCTATGAAAACCCGAGTGAAAGCACGTACAGGATCACTGGATTGCCCCTCAACTGGAGGAAACAAAAAGGAGAAAAAAAAACATCAGCATACCAACCCACAATTAGTAATCAAAATCAGTGATCTCCATATAGAAATGGCTATTGCTCTCTATGCAAACTAATGTTCTTTACATGTCACAAAAGCTAAGGAGAACTTCAGCAACAGTACCTCTAGATTAAAAGAGAATGAGCATTAAGCAAGCGACAGATTCTCAATATAACAATGTCTCTATTATCTTGGGAGAATGGGAGTGAAGAAAACCTCACTAGTCGCTACTACATTTGTGTTGACTCGCTGCAGGACAGGGTGCACAGGGCTGCAAATACTAATATTCCGACCTCACGCAATGGCCAGATGGGCAGCCCATATTGGGGGTTCTAATCTGTGTAAAATGACAATGTTGTAATCCAGACTGACAGTTTGAATAAGTATATAAATGTGTGTGATGGGGAGGCTTGGCTGAAGCTCAGGACAACCTGGCAACGTCATCCCGATCCAGATAGATAGTAACAGGTAATGGGATGTTATCACTGGGGTATGCCTCAGGACATCTCCGGTAATGCATCTTATTTAATCACTTCCCACCTGGCCAATAGGAAAATTACGTCCAGGTGGGACTCATATGACATCCTTACCGGATCACGCCTTGCGCGTGCCCGCAGGGCCACGCTGTGGCGAGCTCTGTCACCGGCTGTGTATCTTGGACACAGCCGATGACAGATCTGTGTACCGGCCCATTGCCAGTACCATGTGACACATGTCACATGACAATTGTAAACAAGGGATTCCTTTCATGCCATCCATTGTATAAAATTGTGTCACTAGCTGTGAGTAGTCACAGTGATCACATGCACAGACTGAGCCAATCACAGCCTGTGTCATGTGATTATCACAGCTAATCACAACGTGGTCAATCATGGCCAAATCACAACAAAAAAACCTGAATTAATCGATTTCATTCAGGTAAATGCTTACTTATAGCAAAGAAAATCTTTGCTATAAGCAACTATATTGTGAAAAAAAAAAAAAAAAGAAAATACTGATCACTTCCCTAAAGTAGTACAATGTTACTGTGGTAACATTATACTACTTTGGTCATAGTGTAACATGAAAAGAAAAAGAAAAAAAAAAAAAATTTAATAAAAAAGAAAATAAGAAAACACAGAAAAAAAAAAAAAAAAAAATTTTTTTGTACTGTCACCAGTGTCCCTGATCACCACCTCACCAGTTAGGATGTCACTGTACTGTGACACTGTAGCAAAGACCAGATACAAAATACAAAGTACTTGTGGCTGTATTTTTCACTAATTTTTCCTTTCAATACCAAAACATTGTGCATTGCACTATATTAGATAGCAAGAAAAGGATATTGTTTGAATACGTTAATATTTTAATAGTCCTTTACAGAATTAACACTCACCTTTAAACACTCCGTTAACCACAAAGCAAAGTAAGGTATTCTGCAAAAAAGAAAAAAAAAAGAAAAAATGTAATATTTGTGAAAATAAAAGGCAGCAAAATGGAACATCAAAAAAAACCATTAAACACTTGACTGGGGTTTGAGGTTTAAGTATGAAATAATATCCGATTATAGTGCGAAGAAATACTCAAATAAGTTTCTTCTCACTACATATTGTAAGGCAAATTGAAATGAGATACAAGACTAACATGTTTCCAGCTTCTAAAGAAACCCATCAAGACAGACTGTGGTATTGCTGAGGCCATCGGACAGGCAAAAGTCATGTAAAGTCTGAGGGCCCTAATAACACTTGTTTATTGTGGCAATGCATGTTAAACTGTGCGTGACCACAAAGAAAGGCAATGCACCTGCTCTATGTGCAGTGCATTGCCACTCATTGTCAATGGCCCCTTAATTCACTGTTCAGTAGATCCCAATGCACCGCACCACAATGCAGTGCATACTGTAAGTTTTGGTGTGCTGCTCTCCACAAAAAAGGATTGTGCATGTTTTTCCTCAGAGCCAAGTCATGTAAAGTCTCATCCTTTAATGGTACGCTGGCATTCCATTTATAATGACGCAACAGGCCGTAATTGTATGTTGGCCATTGTGCACACATAGTTTTTTTACCGTTCATTTGATTTCTTTGTAATTTTAAAAAAGAAAATCCAGTTATTGTTCCAGAATTGACTGACTGGTCCATACAGCATAACCACGAAAATTATATATTAAAAAAAAAAAAAAAAAAGTTCCAACCCACCCAAACGCAATCATGATTGAGTTGATTCTGCAAAATCAGTCCAAAGAAATTAAAACTGTAATGGAAAAAATGAGAGCCAATTGCTGGATTTTATCACAATATTAACAATGTTCCTTTCATCAAATGATCAGATTGATGCATAAAAGTGGCCAGTAATCTGGCCTGTGTTGACAAGCTTTTCATCGCAGAACTGCTTCTCTCCCGCACAAGTCTATGGGAATGCAAAATCATCGTGAATCAGGTCAAATGCACCTGTCAATTAATGATTTCAGAAGCATCTTCAACCAGATGTCAAAATCAAGCTCATCAATCAACACAGGCCCTTAAGCAGGCCATATATGGTTGAATTCCGAACGATTTTTCTATCGAAAATCTGTTCTGTAATCCAATGGCGCCACCAATGATTTAGAAAATTTGTAGTTTTCAAAATATTTTCCAGCATGCCCTATAAACAAAATGGGGAGTAACCACGAAAATTGGCCAGTGCCATTGCCCCAATAACAGATCGAAAAATTGGCCGACTATTCTTAGGTCCGATTTTCGAATGAAAAATTGTTTGAAAATATACCCGTGTATGGCCAGCCTTAGACTACAGATAATGCAAGTGGAGTGTCAGGCTTATATAATGAAGGTGCTAAATGTGGGAAAATTATGAATCTTTGAAAGCTTATAAGTATGTAATGAATGCATTAAAATATGCGAAGACTGAATATTCAGGTTTCCTGTATGAACTTAGACCTGGTTCACACTGGATCCGACTTTTAAATCATGCGACTTCATGACTTTTGCCAATTTGCGGTGAGACTTGCATAGACAACTGTGCATGAAGTCGCACAAATATCTATCAAGTCGCAACATTTCAAAGTCAGATGGCAGTGCAACTGGTGGTGGTGCCTGCCACTGCCAATGGTGGGGCACTATTCCTCCCACTGATACCAATGATGGGGCACTATTCCTGCCACTGATACCAATGATGGGGCACTATTCCTGCCACGGATACCAATGATGGGGCACTATTCCTGCCACTGACACCAATGATGGGGCACTATTCCTGCCACTGACACCAATGATGGGGCACTATTCCTGCCACTGACACCAATGATGGGGCACTATTCCTGCCACTGACACCAATGATGGGGCACTATTCCTGCCACTGACACCAATGATGGGGCACTATTTTCCCCCCATTGACACCAACAATAGGAAACTATTCCTGCCACCAACACCAAAGAAGGGGCACTATTTCCCCTTAATGACACAAATAGGACACTATTCCTTAAACTGACACCAATGATGGAGTACTAATCTTCCTATTGACACAACTGGGCACTATTTTTTTCCCCCCATTGACACCAACTCCCACTGATGACACAAATAGGACACTGACACAAAAATTGGCCACTATTCCTCCCACTTACATCAATGAAGGGGCGCTATTCCTCCCCTAATACCAAAGAGACATTGTTTACTCCCATTGATGCCATTACAATTTCTAGTCCCAATGGCCACAGTCCGGCCCCCCAAAAGTTTGATGAACAGTAAACTGGCCCTATGTTTAGAAAGTTTGGAGACCCCTGGTATTGGGTACAGCACGGCACAATTTAGGGCACATATTCACCATTCTCACACACGGGTCTCCAAAGATGTTAGTTAGTAAACGGTCTAGCGAATTTTGAGAGACCCGAAAATCAGAGGCCGTTTAAAAAAAAAAAAAAAAAAAAAAAAAAAGTTACAAAAAATTAAATAAACTTCAAAAATCAAAGCTATTTTATTGAATTAATGTTCTATTCTTACTGTGTTTTATTGTTAACGGTTGTTGCTTGCTTTGCAGGAACACCATTCAGCTGCAGCACCGATCTGTTTATTCTGACAGCAACAAGGTCTTGCTCTAAGAATATACGTCAGTGCGTGCAGCGCTGTTAGATGAGATATTTCATCCGCAGTTTAAAAAAAAAAAAAAAAAAAAAAACACATGCCCAAGCATGGGGGCCTGGGGTGGTGAGTGGGTGGATCACCCCTATGCTTCGGCATTTTTAAAAAAAGATTTCTGGCAGAGATTTCTTCATCCACATTGATTGATGTGAATGGAGGAATCTGTTAGGTTCTCTTTTTTTTTCGTTCAGCTCACAGGTTGCATGGAAAAAAAAAAAAGGCATTACATATATGCCCAACAACGACCAGTGATGTACTGGTATGTTGCTGGACCTTGAGTGGTTATATACTGGGATGATTCCTGCAGCTAAAGGCATCATCCTGGTATCATTTCCTTCAGTCAATGGTCGGGTTTCATGTAAAAGCAATCCTAGCAGCTATTTAGCCACTGGATTGCTTTTAGAAGCAGCGAGAGGGGATGCTGCCCTTCCCGCTGCCTTCAACGGTTTTCTTGGGCTCTCGTGCCCCGGGGAATGCAGCCAAAGGTTCTGCCTGCTGACCATACAGCTGATTAGAGACCAGAACAGCTCCAATCATCTCTATGGTCTAAGAAACCACAAACTCCAAGCAGCTCATCATTTTGGTTTTGCCGGATATAAACAGCGCCATTTTTAAAATAGGAAAGCATCTGATCACACAAATCTTGGTGTGATCAGATGCTTTAAGGGCAGAGAAGAGAGCTACAGTCTAATAGACCCCAGATTTCTCAGAATACCTGTCACTGCCTATTGCTATCATAGGGGATATTTACATTCCCTGTGATAACAAAAACATTGATCAAAAAATAAAGTAAAAATGTACAGTGTATAAAAAATAAATAAATAAAAAATAAAAGCACCCCTGTCCCCGTGCGTAAAGGCGCACGCAATCGTTGGTCCCGTGTCAATATCTAAGCAGCAGACCAAGGGCAGTAGATCTAGCACTAGACGACCTCTGTAAATCCAAAAAGTGAGAGCCTGTAAAGGAAAAGCTTTGCCTATGGATATTAAAAATATATGTAGTTTGTTGCCGTTGCATGTGGCGTGTGCAGTGTTTAAACCATGCCATATTTGGTAAACCATGCCATATTTGGTATATATTTTACTCAGCATAACATCTACTATATTCTACCAAACAATTCACCAATATATTGTGTTTTTGTGCATTAAAATGCAAAAAAAGTTATTTTTCAAACAAAATTGGTTTTAAAAATACACAAGTACTGTGTGAAGTAAAAAAAAAAATGGCAACACCCACCATTTTTGTCATTCTCAAGGGCCTCTGCTAAAAAAAAAAAAAAAATTTATTAAAAACCCCCACCCAAATGACTCCTTTTTGGAAAGCAGACACCCCAAACTATTTGCGGAGAGGCATCTTGAGTCAATAGAAGAATTTATTTTTTTACAAGTTTCTGGGGGGAAAAAAAAAAAATATATGTTAAACACAAAGTTGTCACTTAAATGAGATATTGCTCACACATGCCATGGGTATATGTGAAACTACACCCCCCAAAAACACATTCTGCTACTTCTCCTGAGTATGGGTATACCACATGTGAGAGACTTTTTGGCAGTCTAGCCAAGTTCAGGACTCCCAAATCCAATAAGCACCTTCAGGCTTTTAAAGGGCTTTATTTCCTCATTACACTTCCTGACTACCTGTCACAGTTTCAGAGGCCCAGAAATGCCAAAACAGTGCAACCCCAACCCCCAAATGACCCATTTTTGGAAAGTAGACACTCCAAGGTATTTGATAAGTCATGGTAAGTATTTTGCAGATCTCATTTGCTGCCACAAGATTTTGAAAAATGAAGAAAGATAATTAAAATGTATTTTTTCTTTAAAACTTTTGTGACAAAAAAAAATGAGATCAGCAAAATACACACTATGCCTCTTATTAAATTCCTTGGAATGTCTACTTTCCAAAAAGGGGGCATTTGGGGAAGAGGGGGGGTTGTGCTATCCTGGCATTTCAGGGTCTCTGAAACTGATAGGTAGTGAAGAAGTGAAATGAGGAAGATACACATCTTCACCTGGGCTAGGCTCTCAAAAAGTCTCTCACATGTCGTATCCCAATACTCGGTAGAAGTAGCAGAATGTATTTTGGGGTGTAATTCCACATATACCCATGGCATGAGTGAGCAATATATAATTTAAGTGACAACTCTAACAAAATACAAAACTTTTTTTTTGTCATATTCCAAAAACTTGTGGTTTTAAAAAAAAAACAAAAAAAAACTTCCATTGACTCAACATGGCTCTCAGCAAATAGCTTAGGGTGTCTACTTTCTGAAAATGGGTCACTGTGAGTGTGTTTGTACTGCCCTAGCATTTTACCAAAGTTTGCAGGCACCATAACTTTCACAAAAACCAACAAATATACACTCATGGGGATTTTTTTTTACCAAAGACATGCAGCAGAATACATTTTGCCCTAAAGTTATAACTAAATTAGTTTTTTTTTTTTGCTTTTTTTTTTTTTTTTTTTTTTTTATAAAAGTAGAAAATGTGTTTTTTTTTTTTTCCCCCCAAACTTTCAGTCTTTTTTCAAAAAAATAAAAAAACCCAGTGGTGATCAAATACCACCAAAAGAAAGTTCTATTTGTGAGAAGGAAAAAAAAATTTCCTTTTGGAACAGCATTAAATGACCGCACAATTACCAGTGGAAAAAAGCGCAGTGCCGAATAGCAAAAAATGGACTGGTTATTGACGGGGGTAAATCTTCCACAGGGCAAGTAGTTAATGCAATACGCACAAAGCAAAAAAAAAAACACCTTTTGCCAAGATATACAATTTAGAAATAACTGGTGTGACTTGTGGGAATGTGAAAACTCAGAGGATTAAAATTAGTGAAGTCTATACACTCACAGTCTCGGTAGTGACGTCCACAACAAAGGAGTTCAGATCATGCTGGGTCCGTGGAAGTTCATTCAAGAAGCTAACGACATTGAGACGTTTGTGCTTGAGAAGTTTAAATCGAAGTGCTGAGAAAGAAAAGGCAAAGAAATCAGAGATAGAACTGAACTGACAGGGGATATATTTAACATATCTCATAAGTAAAACATCAAAGTTTGCTTCCAAGCAAGAATATACTTACAGAGATCTCTGGGTTCTCGTAATCTCTTTAAATTTCTGCTGTTAGCAAAGTAATCTCCCAGACTGCTCCTGTGTCAATACATACATCATGTTAAAGATATGAAAGTGTGTGTGTATATGAAAGTGTGTGTGTATATCTATCAGTTCTTCGTAGAGTTGGGAAAGGCAGTGCTACACACCTGGCAGGATTCTGCCCGGACACATTTGCAATGCTAAGAGAGCAACAAGCCTCATCGTGATAAATGTTGAGTAGGCCTTGGCGATCTTCACCATCGTAGATGGCATAATATCTGCAGAAGTAAATAAAAAAAAAAACAACACTATTCAAACCATAGTCAAGACAACAAAAAAAGTCACAACTGCAAACTGGGCACATTTATCAATAATGCTGCAATTATTGCACATGTATCTTTGACACAAACATTTTTTTTTATACAGATTTCAGGGGGGGGGGGGGGGGGGAAGAGTTATAAAAGATCATATAAATGAATTGATATAAAAGAAAGAAAAAAAAAAAAAAAACCTGCCACAAGTCAAAGCACACGGTGTGGAGTAATGCGCATCATTGGTCGCATTGCAGTATAATGCAATTCCTGCATAAGGTACTTGAGAAGTACGGAACAGAAGCAAACACCAATGTAAAGTATTCATAGCCGGACAGCTCTGAAAATGCATTATTCATAGACCTTAGGACATCCCCAAGCAATGAATGAAAAGAGTGGGTAAGAACTAGGTAAACAGAACTGTGCCAACAGGCTCAACAACAAAAGGATTAACAGACCCAACCAAGGAGCATCACTGTAAGAACCTTGCAGCCGAAGGCTGCAGCCACAGAAATGTGAACATCCACCCTGTAAAACTTTGAAGAGGTATGAATGGAAGACCAGGTGTTGGACTTACAGAGCTGGGCTACATAGACCTGATGTCAGAATGCCCAGGAAACACCCACCGATCTGAATGGGTGCGTAAAAGCACAGGAGGAATTTTATCCTTTTGAGCGGAAGCTCCAGTAATCAGCTGCCAGATCCAGCAAGCACTGAAATCAGAGTGTCAATTGTGAGGTCCTGAAGGTAGGAGAAATGGAGACAGTCTTCCCTACAGAAGCTGTTGCTAGGATGTGGACTCTTGATAGCTCAGGAAATGAAAAGCAATTTCTTTGGAGTGCTTTGAAAAAAGGGAACAAAAATGGAAGAACTATACATTAGGGCGGAAGTCTAATACCAACCAGGGAAGAAAGTCTGCATCTAAAACTGAACCAGAAAACATTAATGAGAAATCATGAAACAGCAAAGTGATCTTGTTGAATAGCAGAGTTGTATGTACCGCAAGATTGGCTAGCCAAATTGACAAATCATTTTACTTCAGAGGCTCACCTAACTCCTGAAAAAAGGAAAAGAGCTCTGCAACAATTGCAACCTTTGGGGTGGATTGAGGTCACTGCTAGAGATGCCATCTATAAAGAGTTTTCCTTCAAGACCTTCAACCAGATCATATACACCTTAATCCCACTGGATATCTGGGAGTTTGTCCCCTTAAAGGGCCAGAACTAATGAAGTAGCTACTAAGGATCGGCAGTGGATAAGCAGAATCGGATATCATCCCTAAGCGTGTATGACTTGTTAGGTCAAAGAAGGTGGTGAGTGCATGGTGCACCTTTCCAGTGATGGGAAATGCCACAATATAGTTGGCACGGTGGAGTAATGCATATCCTTGGTCACCATAATTCGGAGTCACATAACATTTTTCTAATGTGAGTGGATACTGTAGCACGTTTAACTTTTGGTTATATAAAATGGTGTTGCACTATGGTATGTTTTTGCTTTATTTTGCACAGATCTGGAGTTTAAAGGTCCAATGGAGGCATAATATGTGGAAGGAACACACATCTCGGATCAGAAATTTGGAGACACACATATTCCTTATAAAGCATGTCTGATTTATTATAATTTATAGATCAAGGTCAAGGTGAGCAGGGAGTGGGGCCACAAGTCAATGCACGGTGTTGAATATTGCTGGATGATAACGCACCATGTACTGGATTGGACATTTATTTTTGTTATACATTAATTTTCTGGACTGTCACTTTATGTTTTCAAGGCTTATGGTTTTATGTATGAGGAGGTAGCGCAGCACATTTTTTTTTCCCATTTTCAATGACCTTGGGCATAGGACTACTTTGTACTTATGAAGGATGATGAATGGCTCTTTGTAAGAGAGAGACTCCAACTTTGAGACATGTCAGACACATGTGATAGCATAATGCAGGTTCAAAGTGTAGTACTACAAGGATGCCGCCAGTGGAGTACTAGCATAAAAAGGATAGGCAGTGGCTGGTCACTCTACTCTTGGCTGACTCTCTCCAGAATTTCTGGATTTTTTTTCGGATTCTGATAAGTATTGATATCTTTAACATTACCTGTGCATGATTATTATGGACCAGACCTATGGGATACATGTGACAGGGGTCATTTTGCCACAACTGCCCTTTCTGGAATATTATGGTGTATATCTGATATAATACCAAACTGCTGGGAGTGGTGACATTTATTTACATTATTTGAAGCCTCAGAATTGGACCAATTCTGATACAATTGCACCTTACTGAACTTTCTTCATGGGACACCTCCTGGCAGATGCAATTTTATGCTGTTGGCATGAATTTGTGGTGTTATTTCCATGTTTAAGCCCACTAAGATGTACATGAGTGGAGAAGATGTGGGGAAGGTACAGTATTTTAATATATTGGCCACATTTAATTATATATCCCAATTGTTTGTACAATAAATTGGGTAACATGATGTCATACGCAGTTGTCATTCTGCAAAAACCAATTCCCAAAAAAGAGGTGACGCTGTGTAATAATGTAATGGATTTGCAAATCTCATAAACCCATACTTTATACACAATATCAAATCAATCAAAATTTGACATTCTTTTTGGCAACCATGACAGCACAATCCTCTGGACTAAACAGAGAGATTGTCCAGCTTTTTCTCAGCACTCAGTTCAAAATCCTGCATTTCTGATGGTATGGGGGTGCGTTAATGCATATAGAATGGGCAGTTTGCATATCTGGAAACACACCATCAATGCAATAAGATATATAGAGGTTTTAGAGCAGCATATGCTCCCATCCAGATCCTTTCAGAGAAGGCCTTGCATAGTACCGTGTACTACATCTATAACAGCATGGCTTCATAATAGAGTCTGGGTGCTTAATTGGCCTGCCTGTAGTCCAGACCTTTCACCAGTGTAAAATATTTGGTGCATCTTGAAATGAAAAATATAACAAAAAGACCCAGGACTGGTAAACAGTTAGAATCCTATATCAGGGCAAAGCAGTTAGAATCCTATATCAGGCAAGAATGGGACAACTGTCCTCTCTCAAAACTCCAGCAATCTGTTTTTTTTTAGTCTTTTTGCTGGATCTCTCTTTGACCTTAATTGCCAGGCATGGGAGGAAAACCATTGCTTGGTATGTGTCCAGGACCAGACTCAAGTATTCCAAGTGAAGAGAAGGCTGTAGAACAGATTTTGGAAACTGATCACTCAACTGAAAGCCTGGGGAATATAAAATTGTGCTGTGGACATTTGCAGATACCTGCAAGGAAAGCAAGTCCTTCAGGACAAGATGGTCCAGAACACCTGGATGCTCCGAGTTCTTAGAAGGGCACGTAGAGGTGCTAGGATCTTTGTGAATACACTGGGAACAGAGGATAGTCAACAAGGCAGTGCAACAACTGGAAATTATTTTCTTCTACTGCAAAGCACAGAAACCACTAATGAAGAGGATAGATTGGAATATGCAGATAGGCATCTTGGATGTCTACAAATGCCATGCATTCCCTTGTCTTAATTTGGCCATACATTAAAAACTACTTTCTTGTACAAATTTTCTTTTAGATTCAGCAAAACATATAAAATGAGGCCAACCTAAACACGTTTCATTTGTATGCAATCAGCTAGGCCCGTGAACTACTTAGGTGAATTGAACTCTAAAAGAAATTGAGCAAGAAAAATGTATGGCTAGCTTATGAGAGGCAATAATCAACTTTGCAGATTCCATGCAAAATGTTGGAATCTGAAGATATTATGGGTGTAGAATAAGACTAATACTCCATTGAGCTTTGGTACAATTAACAGATTTGAATAAAGTTCTTTGATCTCGTCTTGTGGTGGTACTGGCACAGCCATTTCCTGGGACAAGTGGAGGTTCAAGGCATTTTGCAGATCTGACTATCCTTGGACACACTTTGGTTGATTTGAGAAAAGTGGTAGAGTTTTGAACTACATTTTGTATCCCTTTGAAACCATACACAGTTCTGGGATGTCTGGGGAAGGGCAAACTGTAACATATGTTAACCCCCCCCCCCCCCCCCCCCCCCCCCCCATACAATCACACTACTAGGAGTGAGGGTACCCCTTTTGAGCCTTTCACTGTGAGAGTACAACCTTCCCATTTGTGACATCTTTAACTTCCTCGGCGGTATGATTCTTTCCGATTTTTTGTGCTGAAAGCGGTACCATTTTTTTGCATGGAAATACCGTATTTTGCCGGCGTATAAGACGACTTTTTACCCCTTAAAAATCTTCTCAAAAGTCGGGGGTCGTCTTATACGCCGGAAATAACATGACATGACACTTTTTAGGGGGGGCGGCGCGGTGCCGCCGCCGCCCCCCCCCCTTCCCCCTAACGGAAGGGACACTAAGTACAGGGGTGGGCAGGGGCTATTTCTTACCTGGTTCCGGTCCCACGACGATCCGGTCCAGGAAGCGCGGCTGCGCCTTCAGTTCGGCCACTGGATGTTCGCGCGGCTGCTCGGCTCCGCCTCCTCACCAGCGATTGGCCGCCAGAACTGTAGCTCAGGAAAGGCACACAGGCGGCCAATCACCGGCGAGAGGGTGGAGCCGAGCGGCCGCGCGAAAATCGAGTGCAGGACCAGCAGGTAAGTGGTCAGTGTAGAGGTGCTGCTGCAACCACATATGCTGGCTGCAGCAGCACCATACGAGAACAGAGTCAGCAAGTGTCATGGGAGGAATAGTGCCCCATCATTGGTGTCACTGATACCAATGATGGGGCACTATTCCTCCCACTGATACCAATGATGGGGCACTATTCCTCCCGCTGATACCTATGATGGGGCACTATTCCTCCCCCCCACTGACACCAACGATGGGGCACTATTCCCCCCCCCCACTGACACCAACGATGGGGCACTATTCCCCCCCCCCACTGACACCAACGATGGGGCACTATTCCACCCCCCACTGACACCAATGATGGGGCACTATTCCACCCCCTGACACCAATGATGGGGCACTATTCCTCCCCCCCACTGACACCAACGATGGGGCACTATTCCCCCCCCCACTGACACCAATGATGGGGCACTATTCCACCCCCACTGACACCAATGATGGGGCACTATTCCTCCCCCCCACTGACACCAACGATGGGGCACTATTCCCCCCCCCCACTGACACCAACGATGGGGCACTATTCCACCCCCACTGACACCAACGATGGGGCACTATTCCACCCCCTACTGACACCAACGATGGGGCACTATTCCACCCCCACTGACACCAACGATGGGGCACTATTCCACCCCCACTGACACCAATGATGGGACACCATTCCTCCCACTGACACCAATGTTGGGACACTATTCCTCCTACTGACACCAATGATGGGGCACCATTCCCCCCACTGATACCAATGATGGGGGCACTATTCCCCCCACTGATACGGATGATATGGGCACTATTCCTCCCACTGGTGTGCACTGGAAGAGGGGTAGTCTTATACGGCGAGTATAGCCCAAACACTACATTTTAGCAGGAAAAGTAGGGGGGGGTCGTCTTATACGCCCAGTCGTCTTATACGCCGGCAAATACGGTATGTAGTTTTTTATTGTAGGCTGTAATTTTTAGGAATAACTCACTGAAATCTGTACGAACAAGAGTCTAGTAAACATCCGGATATGATAAAACTTGAAACACGAAATCATAAATTATAATTTAATAAACATAAAAAATAATAATATAATAATAAATTTAAATTCAATAATATAGTCAAACCAAAAACACTGAAATTTGAAATACAGAGGCAAATTTGCACATCGCTGAGCAAAGTCGTAAATCGTTTTCAGTGTCTGATGACGAATTTCCCCACGAATCATTATCACTCAATTCTGCAAGTGGTTCTGATTTACTATCGCTGTTCTAAAACCACTTTTGACGTAAAGGGACGCTTTTTGGATGCCATGGACTTTTCTAAGTTTCCAGGCAGAAAGAACAGTCAAAATGCAGGCAGGGCACAGGACAAAGCAGTAGGGGCAAAATGTATGTGAAATGCATTGAAACAGCAATGACAGCAAAAATGACATTTTTTAAAAATTTCAAATTTCCTGCCGGTTCCGGCGCCTGTACGTCCCGACGTCACAGGGACCGGAACACAGAAGCCGGATGCCGGCGGGGATGGCCGGGGACGCTGCAGGGGACACATCGCGGGAGTGAAGGACAAGGTAAGCTCTGCAGGAACCCCCCGAGCAACGCCGCATGGTAAGCCCGAGTGTAGCTCGGGGTTACCGCTCTTGGTATTGAAATTTTCCCCCTGAGCTACACTCGGAAATACCGCTAAGGAGGTTAATGAATTTGTCAAGTTCCTAATCAAAGAGACATCCTCCTCCAGAAGAATACATGAGAGGCCTCTCAGGCTGCTTCAGTGGACCAGGATTTGGTCATGTGAGTGGCAACCAAAGCCATTTTAAATATTTGTGTCATGGCTAGTTCAAGGGCATCGGCACAAAAGAGCTGGCCAGGAGGTAACTGTTGCAATTGCTCAGTTAAGGTAGGGCTCCTGGAAAACAGTATTGACTTGCACAAGTTCAGCTGGCCACAGTCTAAGACAAATTGTGGCTATAGCTGGTTGCAGATCCAGGACTGCAAGTGTAAAGACAGCTTTTAAGAGTGTCTCAAACTCCTATCTGCAGAATCTTTGACTGTAGGAAATTGGTGAGATGTTTAAGGCTGATAAGGCAGGATCTACTATTCAACCAGCCCACTCCTTAATGATCTCTTTTTCCACTGGATAGAATTGCCTTTTGGAGGGGTGAAAATATGTTCAGGAATAACTCAATCAATATAAACAGCCCATCCTATTCCTTCTTGTATTTTTAGACAGCGACATTACAGACCGCCTCCACAGCGTGGGGACCAGGTTCGATTCCTAAGGTTTCACCAATACGGATGAGCCGCTACTACTGTTGTATTAGAAGACTACGTTGATTAATGAGTTAATGGAAGAATCCAAAGATTAAAAAGCTAGTTAAGCCAAGAGTGATTTCTGTAAGGGAGAAGTGGTCCATCCCCTTATACACTAGCGAAAAAATTGAGGGCTCACAGAGTAGGGTGGGGTTATAGGGGAGGTGCCCAAAGGGTGTACGCTCCAAAGCTTTGCCAGTGTTTAATCACCTGAAGGTACGAGCCTAGAACATGAGGCATATGAATATTTAGGCTCTGTCCTGTACTATACAATTAAGAAAACTATTTTGCAATAGATTTACTTACAATTCACAATAAACATAAAAAGTGGGTTCAGAGGAAATAAATATGGTCCTACAAGAAAACTGGATATGTTGCTCAAGACAAATTATGGAAAATAAGTTCATTTCTTTAAAACACATCTGTACAACATCTGTATATGTCATTGTACCATTTACATGATTAAATCGCTAAAATTTTCAATCAGTATATAAAAACAAATAACACTTCACTGTTTTCCACAGATGATATTCGGTACAGAATAGGAAGTTGTGTCAGTGCACCCCTCCTTTAATAAATCTTGCCTATTATGCTCAATATTAACCCCTTGACGCCGGCGTAACACAAATATGCGGCCTCACAGAACTGGGCTTTTTTCCCGTAAGGCCACATATTTGCGTACCTGTCTTTCTGCTGGGTGTCACTGAGAGCACTAGGTTCCATTCTAACAATCGGGACCCGGGACTCCCAATTCCAGGTCACATGACCGCTGTGATAGCCTCTGATTGGCTATCACAGTGATCAGTCACTGTAAAGCTCTGCCCCCTTTTTTTTTTTTCTATGAATGGAGAGAGATACATTGTATCTCTCTAACTGCTGGCATATAGAGGGAAGAAAAACATTTTTTTGTAAAAAAAAAAAAAAAAAAAAAAAGATAAAATATTTAAAAATGAAATAAAAAATAAAGAAAAAATACCTGGATCAAGGTTTGATCTAGTTCAGTGCCAGGGCAAGTGTTTAGATCAGGGTCAAAAGGTCAAAGGTCAGGATTTTAAAAAAAAATATATTGCTGTCAGTGTTTTTTAGGTTAAAAAAAAAAAAAAAGACAAAAACAAAAAATGCGCACTATTGTTTCTGGGCTGTACTACAGGTACAAACAACAACAAACATATATGGTATTGCTGCGATCGTCAAGAGCTGGAAAATTTATTTTGGGTTGTTCTTTGGTGGTAGGTTATGGCAGTAACAAGAAACATACAGCTAAATTTAAAAAAAAAAATTTTTTCTACTATTTTGGCCTAGTTTTCCTTTGATAATAATAATTAAAAAAACGCGGTATAATTCACCTGGATGTTCAAAGTAGTTGTGATGATATGTACGGTTTTACTAACACAAGTCAACGTTGCAAAATTGTGCTTAGGCATTTAGATTTGTTTTACCCTTAGCCATGAAGGGGTTAAAAAGTTAAGTGCCTGTCTATCTCTGGTTACAGTACTTTGGATGCAAGCATGCAGCCAGGTAATTAGCATATTATTTTAGGAAAGGATAGCGGTAGCAGCCTGCACATTTTTTTCCAGTTTTCAACAAGTTTGCACTAAAGTGCGCCTTAATTAGTAAATATAATGGTGCAAGTTAGGATGGCAAGAGTGGTAGGCACTTTCCTAAATTATAAATCTTTAAATATATTTTTGAAGCAATGTCTTCGTAATCTATTCTACTGCATCCATTTGGTTTGCACACACAGAATAGCAGGAAGTGTTTGGTGCAACAAGATGAAGAGCTATTTTTGAATCAAGCCGTAAGGAAACATCCTACCGATAGAAACAGATGCTAAAGTGGAACTGCAGCTTAAAAAAAAAAAAAAAAAAAAAAAAAAAGCTTTAAAAGCTACTTAGCTGCCTGTCCATACTGTAAACAGAGTTGCACTGAGCTCAGTGTACAACTTTGGCATCTTCTGAGATGAGTGAATTTACGTGCATGCACAGCAGTAACAGCTTGCTCCGGCCAATGAAAATGGCCAAATATCGGTAGCTGGAAAAAGACCATCAGCATCTCTCTGACCCAACCAAACTGCCAATGAATTAGTGACACTAAGTAAAAAGGTCAGAAGAACTCAATTCACAAAATATCAAATAATGACAAAAAGAGCTTTTACTTACTGTTGAAGAAATCGCAAAACTATTGCTTTAATATTATCTGTAGACAGGTAGCTGCCCTGAATGAGGAAAAAAAACATGAATAGTAAGAGGAAATATGAAGTAGATAGTCTAAAATCAGAACCAAGAGTGTAAATCGAGCGCTTACTGTAGCAGCTAATGCACCAAAAACCACAAACTTTCTCAATTGAAAAGATCACAAAAACGTAGCGCAGCGCTAAAACGAATATTGGCCAATGCATGAGTGACTAACCAATCATCTTTGCGCATTAAGATTGCGCTTCCGGTGAGTGGGCAATATTTCTATATCCAATTTGATCACACGTCACCGGTTTTCCTGATTGAAGCACACGGGGAGTTATATAGTATCGGTCCATCATTTACCAGTGGGAATAACTACCACCAGCAGATTGGCTAACTCTGGACACTTATTGTATATTGCATTTTATATTTATGATTGGTTAGCCACTCATGTATTGGCCAATATTCATTTAGCGCTGCACTATGTTTATGATCTAGATAGTCTAAAATCCCCCCCCCAAAAAAAAAACCAAAACTGTGCAATGCATCGTAAAATCAACCAATACCTCACCTTGCATGGAGGAAGTGTGGTGGGGGTTTCTACATCAAATGCTATTGGTGGAGGAAGCTCGTGTCCATCCTGTGACGATGGCAAGAGTAAAAAGACACAAAAGGTTAAATGTGCTCAAAATAAAGCCTTATACACTAAATTTATATTCATCGGACAGAATAAACCTCTATGCACTATACAAGGTTACAATGACTCCCTCTGTGTAATTAACGCGTCCCTGCCGCCCTACAGCACAAATACTGCTACAGCGCAGCGCAAAATCTGCGTGTGTGTGTGTGTGTGTGGTGTGTGTGTGTGTGTGTGTGTATTTTCGAGTAGGGGAGCGCATGCACCCTACCTGCTGTCATTGGCGGCTACAGCTGTCAATCACTGGGTCCCGGCCGGAGATTCCCCGCCGGCACCCGGTTATCGTCGACTATCACTGACAGGGGAGAGGTCTGTATTTAAAGTACCGTATTTTACGCTCCATAAGACGCACTTTTTTCCACCCAAAAAAGGGGGGGAAATGTCAGTGTGTCTTATGGAGCGAATATGGAGCAGCCGGTCCGGTATTTTCGACCACCACAGAATACCGGGCCGGCCGTTCAGCTCTGCAGCAGGTCCTTACCTGTTCCTCTATCCAGCGCCGTGCTGTCTTCCCGGCTTCTGTAGTATGGGCGCTCGGCTTGACAGCCGGGTGCCCAGTGTGCATGCGTGAGAAGCGGTGCGCTTTGTAAATAGTAAGGCGGCACCTGGGACACATGACAGGTCCCAGAAGCCGCCGTACGAATCACAAAGCGCAGCACTTCTGGCTCATGCGCACTCGGCTGTCAAGCAGAGCGCCCACACTACAGAAACTGGGAAGACAGCGCGGCGCTGGATAGAGGAACAGGTAAGGTCCCACTGCAGAGCGGACACTAACCAAAGAACAACTCGGAAGAACAGGTACCTGTCAAATTCAGGTACCCGCTCCCCCCCCTCCCCAAAGGTCAGCAGTCATCTCCTGTACTGTGTCCGCAGTCTCTGGTCATCTCCTGTAATGTGTCCGCAGTCTCTGGTCATCTCCTGTAATGTCCGCAGTCTGGTCATCTCCTGTACTGTGTCCGCAGTCTGTGGTCATCTCCTGTAATGTGTCCGCAGTCTGTGGTCATCATCTCCTGTACTGTGTCCGCAGTCTGTGGTCATCTCCTGTACTGTGTCCGCAGTCCATTGGTTAAGAATATTTTTTTTACTGTTTTCTGCCTCTAAAACCTAGGTGCATCCTATGGTCAGGTGCGTCTTATGGAGCGAAAAATACGGTATACAGATCTCTTCCCTGTCAGCTCCAGCATGCTGTTTTGTATTGCTCTGCATAGCAGAGCAATACAAAACAGAATGCCTCCTTGTAAAGTACACACACAGCACAGTTAACCTTTTGATCGCCCCAGATGTTAACCCATTCCTGCCCATTGTCATTAGTACAGTGTCAGTGCATTTTATTAGCACTGATCACTGGGGATATCAGTGACAGTTAGTCAGTTCCCCCCAGTGTCAGAATGCCCGCCACAGTCCCGCTATAAGTCGCTGATCGCCACCATTACTAGTATAAAATAAAGTTGCAGTATATACACCGTCATTTGTAGACGCTATAACTTTTACATAAACCAATTAATTTACAATCTGATTTTTTACATTTTTTACAGGATGTTTTATAGCAAAAAGTCAAAAATATTGTTTTTTTCAAAATTGTTGGTCTTTGTTTATAGCGCAAAAATAAAAACCACAGAGGAGATCAAAAACCACAGAAATAAAGCTCCATTTGTGGGAAAAAAAGGAGGAGGGGGGGGGGGGTAAATCCTCTGGAGGGCAAGTGGTTAAAGAGCAGGGGGGGGGGGGGGGGGGCGCTGTGTCAAATCCAGACCAATATCATTCATCCTCTGCTGAGACATACTAAATTGTAAATGCGCCCTTGGTGCCCTACAGTTGTTCTTCAGCTAATCGGCTGCCTCAGTACAAAACAAGTAAGTTAGACCAGACTTCATGCAACCCTCTGCTCTAGTTACTGAACCAAGGGCTGCATTGCTGTTAAGTTCTGAAAAACTGTGGGCAGTATCCAAAGCTTTGCACGTCTCCAATCATCTGAAGGCAACAGCCTTTACCCAGGGTCTATGAATGTCAAGTCTGTGTCCTGTAATGTACATTTAAGTTAAGATGATACTCTGTCATGGAAAACAAAAACTCCAAATTCTTGGTCTCTCACCAGTCGCAGTAGTTTTGGAAAGCGTTCCCTCATAGTACTGTCGTTCAGAACGCGTAAAATCCAGACGTTGACAGCCAAAAGAAACAAAGAGAAAAAGGTTAGCAGCACACAAAGACCCCCAACCCACACATTGAGCACCATGACCAAACCTCTATCATACCATATCCTAGTAGAGGGGAGACAGACACTGATCTCTGTCATAAGAAAGGAGAAGCGCAGCCCTGCAGTCTGCCAGGACTTTGCGGATGAAGGATACTGGTGAATAAAAGGACTTCCTATACGATATTAAATCTGTGCTTCTATACTGGTTCTACCCATCTTCCAGCAAATACCAAAAAACTCCACAGAGCTGATTAAAATGTTGTGACAACATCATGGTCAACGTAAATGCAGCAGTGATAAAAGCTAACTTCTTACACCAGTTACAGCAACCATTGTTAAACATATACACTTCCCTTCTAATACTATAATTGAGAGGAACATGCGTGCAAAACGTCTCCATAGCCCGGTCATATAATGAGAACCATGCAGGAACATTGCTAGGGTCAGGTAGAATAATAGAAAACCTGTCGTTTTTTGTATTGCAAATGGCTTTTAATTATTTCAAGATGTATGTTAATTTTTAATAGTTTAAAATTTTCTATCATCTATGTACCACTGCATAGATCGTTTAGAGATAACAAATTAGTGTGGCATATTATATTTGCAAACATGAATTGGAGTAAATGCAAAATACAATGGCAGTTTCAATTTTAGAGGCAGAAACCTCTAATGCAGAATTTTCCCAATGATAAATAGAAACAATATCTACTCAGCAAATGTTTACTGAATGAATCATATATAAATGATTCAAGGAATTTCTTTACACATTTAATAAGTTGGAAAGATGGTAATGAGTAAAGAAAACTAGACAGACAATGGAAAGATGATATTTGTGGTATGAAGAGGTAATGAGTGATTCAAATGAATGGCAGAAAGGAATGATGTTAGACTTTGGTAAAAAGGTAAATGATGGGTAGTGAGCAGCATTAGGCACAGTATCTGTCAACACAGGAAAATCAGATTTTTACAACCTCCAGTTAATCCAGTCTCCATCTTCTCCACGTTAGGCCCTCCTATCTCAAAGCGCAGTTGGGGTAATGTGCAGGATCACCCCTCCAAGCACAGTTGGGGTTATGTGCAGGATCACTCCTCCAAGCACAGTTGGGGTTATGCGTAGAATCACCCCTTTTACAGCAACTCCTATCCAAGCTCTATCCAAGGAAGCCCCATCGACTGTGCACAAGGCACAACTGTTGGTGGTGTTTTATTTTTTTCCTTATCCTTGATGATTCATGGAATGCCAAGCCTGCCTCCCAGGCAAAGAGGCTACAAGTCATTTGTGAGACTTACAAAAGAAAAAAGTGCATTCTTTGGGCATATTACTGCAACCAACCTCCTTCAGTCATCTTCTCGTGGCTGTTACCAGGTCTGCCTTAGGTTGCTCCCGCATGGGGAATCTTACCCGTCATAGACCAGACAACCACATTGAAAGGAGGCATCCGTGAGTTCATGAGGGCTGAATGAAGGGGCTTTCACAGAGACAAGAGTTTGAATATGCTAATCTTGTTCCTGGCTGAGATAAAAGGAGGTGTAACAGGCAGGTTATTATACCTGAAGCCCAAGGAGAAGATGCGAGACAGAACAATGGGTAATGGTAAACCTGTGGACTAGAAAAGACTGCACCACATGTAAAGGGGAAAAAAAAATAAGCAAAGATACATGTGGAAATAAAATAGTGATGTATGCAGCAAAGGGAAAATGGAAAAGGGAAAAAAAAACAAAAAAAAACACAATCAAGCGAAACAGATTATTTGGTAGACACTAGTGTTGCTTGTGTGACTGGAAAGGAAACGAAAGAACAACGCAAAACATAGAAGTAGAGGGAGCTGAAGCCCTTTTAACTGTACATGCCACACGATTTCACAAACCTTGCTATACATTTTAGCTGAAATTATTACAAGGCATGGTAGGAATTCTATCAAAATAACAAAACCAGTCCTGGAGAACAGGCTACAGGTTGTGGTGCACAAATGTCACTGAAATTATACTGTCCAGTAAATGTTCCCCTTGCATGGATCTCACCAGATGAAACTTAGCGTCACAAGGAGCAGTGCAGAGTACCCTACACTGCAGTATGCTTAACATAACTGCACACAATATCAGAGCCAGGCCTCTACAGGTTATGGATTTAACACACTAGTGTATGCAACACTAGTGTTAGGGCCAAAGTCAGAGAATGTCACAAATGAAATGCTAGAAAAGCCACTAACTTACAGAGTCAGGTAATTAAGTCAGATGCAATAACCAAAGCACAAAAGAGTGTATAAAATTACACTGAATGTGACATTACCATTAAATACCATCACGTGTTACATATTCCAGAGGTAAAAATTAATTACTGCTATCCAGTACAACACAATGAGACTTGTACCTAATTTCTGCCTGTCTCTTCCCATTCTTTATCCCATACATTTTCTCAGTTTTTTTTTTTTTTTTTATATATATTGCGCCACCATTTTTTTTTTTTTATAGTTTACAGGGTTTCACAATCAACCTTCTGTTCATAAACTGCCCCAAATATTTGGCAAGATGAAAATCTAATTATCCCTCTGAGATGGTGAATTTTTTTTTTAGGAAAGGGATTAACTAGAAATATATTTTTACGGTTTACTTGTTTTATTACATTTTTCTATGCATGGTGAATAATCTCTATTAATTTTAATATTTTTGCCAAACAATCTAGAGATGACTAAGTGGGAAGGGCCAAATCAGAGAAAAAAAAAAAAAAGCATTGGATAACATTATATACATGGACTCCAAACTCACCAAGTTGGAAAACACAAATGACACGCTGTTATCCCATAACGCTCGCCAGTTGAGTGTAAAACTCACAGCTGTAAACCCCAATTCACTTCTGTGGAGCTCAAGATTCAAGTTTTTACTGAAGAAACATTTGGAAGTCAGTTTCAAAGGCTGCTTTAATGTGTTAAGAAAAAGAAAACCAACCCTGATCAGGGAAAAGCCAGGCAGCTTGGGTAATGGTTAAGGCTTCAGCAAAACCTCTTTCAGACACATATTGTGTCAAACGGTAAGAAACTAACAGACTGACCTGATATACGTGTTCTGGTCTCGGAAGTTGTCACAGAGTGGGTTTCCATCTAACCACAGCATTTCAAGCTTCAGACCTTTAATCTTATCCAGATCCTTGTCAGTTCTCAGCTACACAAAAATGAACAGTAGGTATAAATGATTTAAACTAAATTATATTTATGCTAAATATCATTTAAAAGAAGTATGGGATTAAGAAGAAAAAAAAAAAAATACATGCAGCATTGGTCCACACTGTTCATGGTCTTAGAGCTAGTGAGGAACAGGTGCAGCATCGATCACATGACCGCTGATCGCCGAGTTCTTCAGTGAGCAGAGAGCCGTGTGTCAGTCACTGGCTCTATGCCCCACCAGCACTCACGGGAGGAGCTGGGCTGCGGAGGAGGTGGAATCAGCTGGCTTAGGCTCTCAACAACACGCTGGGAGGCTGAGCCAGCTTCCGGTCAGGCACCTAGGTGGATCCTGACATTTTCAAGATTCATGAAGAGCATGGACTGCCTCTGTGACGTCACCTTATATCTCCTCTATTACTGGCTCCATCACAGTCCCTGCTAATAACATACTTCAATGTTGGTGCCACCTTTTAAACCTCCATTGTCTCAATTTCATTGACAAACTATTTTAGTTTGTGTCATCCCCACCTCTCCCCTCCACCTCCACTGTGCCAGAATAACCTGCTTCAATATTAGCAAGTCAATCTCTTGGTGACTGATTTTGACCTCTATGCCTCTACAAAACGTTTATGCTGCAATTAGTAGTTCTGCTAATGGGTACCAAGTTCTTTATGGAGAGAATTGCCCGCCTCTGCACATGTGTGATCATTTTTTTTTTTTTTTTTTTTTTTTTTTAAGTGATTTTGTGGCTAATTACAGAAAGATAAGTAACCACCATTTGTGAGTCAAACTGCCATCATGCCCTCCACACATACATGCAGGCCACAGTCATACATTTTGCTCTTTTCTCATGCACATACTACGCACTGTCATATCATCTGCACTCTCCTCCCACATAAATTGTCTCCCCATACCACCTGCAATCCTTTCCTGTACATGCTACCGACAGTCATAACCTCTGTACTTTTCTCCTGAACACACTGCCCCTCATCATACCTACCTCACTCTCCCCCAGGCAGTCATGAACCTTCTCAAAAAAGTAAGAATTTCTTCTCTTCTATTTCTCTATAATTAACCATCTCAGCAGGATAAACATATCTTTCTCTACTGTCCACCGAGGAACACAAATTGATAACTAAAGTGGTTCTAAAGGCAAACGGTTTTTTCACCTTAGAGCATGTCCAATGTCTGTGCCTCTCTTTCCCTCCACAAGTATTTACCTATCCCCACTCTCGATCCCTCCTGTCCCCACCAGCAGTCCTGTCCTCCTGCATCAATAGGACAGTGAGGCAGCGGGAGCGGGAGCCATTGGATCCTGCTACTGTCAGTCAAATCCTGTGAGTAGGGAGCCAGGCCACAACGCACTGTGTGTTACTATAGATGTACACAGACCGGGGCAGGAGCACACCAACTCGAAGGCTCTCATAGCACACAGCTTGCTATGGAGGCACTCCTAAGGGAAGGTGATCCTTTAGCACTGGAAGGGGACCCCAGAAGGAGGAGGAAGGGACAGCTCTGAGCAACAGCATTGCTTAGAGCAGATAAGTATAACAAGTTTATTATTACAACAATTAAAAAAAATATTGCTGCCTACAGAATAAATGGACACTAAGCACCTGGAAAAGAGATGGTCAGCACCTTACAGGCTTTAACCCTTCTCTACCTAACACCTTGCCCTCATTAGAGTGGATGGGTTTTCTGTTTCTTCCACTTGAAGATGTTTCTACTATCAACTGCTACTGGAAGATTATACCAGCTACTGAAAATCCTGGAAGTCTCAGGTTAGTAGATGAGCGCCAATTTTCCTAGTTCTGTATATTGGTGTTCTACCTGCAATGGCCCTGTAACAACCCAGCTGCATTAGACCTGGACTCTGCCCTTCAGGTCATCACTGTATATCTGGTGATTCCTTGCAGAGCATGGAGATCAGATGTGCACAATTCCTCGGGTCCCGGTTTCTGACAAATCACTATTGTATGAGGCTAGCAGGCTAAAGGCACTTTTCCAGAAGCTGCTGTATCTAGCAGGGAAATACATGGAGAATTTTTATCTCCCATTTCTTAATGGTCTTTACTATTATTTCATATAAGATTGCATGCTGGGCACTGTAATTTACTTTCTGACAACCCTCCTTTTCATTTGCACTTTGGGGCTGTTCTCTGCTTTTTCGGCAGCCAGACTTTTTTTTTCCCCCCAAACCACCATTTAAATTTCCAGCCTGTTTCTTTTAAGAGTGTTGAAGCCTAGTAGAAGTTGATGTGTGTGGGACTCAATTTCTAAAACTGCTCTCTTAAAGAGTGCATAAAAGACACCTGGAAGAACGGTATTCATATACTAGCATTTAACTGAAGCCACTTCACTCTACACTTATGCTGGCCATAGATGAGCCAGTGTGCTGAACGAAAGTAAACAATGGGATTCCTCCATCCACACAAACAAGGTGGATGGAGGAATCTCCCCATTAAGACATTATATTCTCACAGTGGGACTCTCAGCTGTCAGAACACACTGACCAGCAGCTGCAGCCGCTGATCGGCAAACATTTTCCAACATTCCCTTTTGATAGAAGAAGAGGTCAGGCATCTAGTTGGTCTGCACAGAAAAAGTCTGGCAATAGGTTGGCAGAGAACAAAAACCTAATCTGGAGCAGACTTCTATACCACTCTGTAATCCTTGCATGCAAGTAGTTAATCACTGTGAGACTGCTGCAGCTGTAAGAAACAGTCAGACTATATTTAGCTTCGCTATTCGAACTGACATTTTACCCATATAGGATTGCTTTTAGCAGGAGTCTTGCTAAGAAAATATTTTTGCATACGCATGTCACCACCCTTTAAAAGACTAAAACAAAGACCAATTTCCAGAAGTCATACGTCTCTCGGTAAAAGTTCTTGTTTTTGTATATTTCTGGGTAATTATGCAGTGATTTATTGTGTGTCATCTAAACTCCTGCTGCCCCGTTTATATCTATAATAGAATTCCAACGTAATTTTTTTCAATATGTCCATACAAAAAATTTCCAAACTAGTTCACATTAGTGTGATTTCAGATGCAACCCGATTCGCACAGAATCACACAAGGGAAAACACATTGATTTCAAAGGTGTCCGTCCACATCAATGCGACTCAGCATGCAGCGATTTTGGAAAAGGTTTCTGTACTACTTTGGTGCGATTACAGTGCGATTTTGGCCTCGTAAAATATACAAAGTCTGCTGTTTTTGAAACTGATAATTTGAATCTCTATGCAATCGGTCTGCACCTGTTTCGTTGTCTTATCTGCTGGCATCCACTCCTGTGCCTTATTTTTATATGTTTGTACTCTAAAAGATGTTTAAATAAAGAATGTTTAAAAAAAAAAAATATATATATATATATATATACATACATACATATATATATATATACACATACATATACACATATATATACATACACATACATATACACAAATATATACATATACACATACACACACACACACACACATATACACACATATACATATATACACATTAAAAATATATATATATATATACATACATACACATATATACATATACACATACACACACACATATACAGTCAGGTCCATAAATATTGGAACATCAACACAATTCTAACATTTTTGGCTCTATACGCTACCACAATGGATATGAAATGAAACAAACAAGATGTGCTTTAACGGCAGACTGTCAGCTTTAATTTGAGGGTATTTACATCCAAATCAGGTGAACGGTGTAGGAATTACAACAGTTTGCATATGTGCCTCCCACTTGTTAAGGGACCAAAAGTAATGGGACAATTGGCTTCTCAGCTGTTCCATGGCCAGGTGTGTGTTATTCCCTCATTATCCCAATTACAATGAGCAGATAAAAGGTCCAGAGTTCATTTCAAGTGTGATATTTGCATTTGGAATCTGTTGCTGTCAACTCTCAAGATGAGATCCAAAGAGCTGTCACTATCAGTGAAGCAAGCCATCATTAGGCTGAAAAACACAAAACAAACCCATCAGGGAGATAGCAAAAACATTAGGCGTGGCCAAAACAACTGTTTGGAACATTCTTAAAAAGAAGGAACGCACCGGTGAGCTCAGCAACACCAAAAGACCCGGAAGACCACGGAAAACAAATGTGGTGGATGACCGAAGAATTCTTTCCCTAGTGAAGAAAAACACCCTTCACAACAGTTGGCCAGATCAAGAACACTCTCCAGGAGGTAGGTGTATGTGTGTCAAAGTCAACAATCAAGAGAAGACTTCACCAGAGTGAATACAGAGGGTTCACCACAAGATGTAAACCATTGGTGAGCCTCAAAAACAGGAAGGCCAGATTAGAGTTTGCCAAACGACATCTAAAAAAGCCTTCACAGTTCTGGAACAACATCCTATGGACAGATGAGACCAAGATCAACTTGTACCAGAGTGATGGGAAGAGAAGAGTATGGAGAAAGAAAGGAACTGCTCATGATCCTAAGCATACCACCTCATCAGTGAAGCATGGTGGTGGTAGTGTCATGGCGTGGGCATGTATGGCTGCCAATGGAACTGGTTCTCTTGTATTTATTGATGATGTGACTGCTGACAAAAGCAGCAGGATGAATTCTGAAGTGTTTCGGGCAATATTATCTGCTCATATTCAGCCAAATGCTTCAGAACTCATTGGACGCCGCTTCGCAGTGCAGATGGACAATGACCCAAAGCATACTGCAAAAGCAACCAAAGAGTTTTTTAAGGGAAAGAAGTGGAATGTTATGCAATGGCCAAGTCAATCACCTGACCTGAATCCGATTGAGCATGCATTTCACTTGCTGAAGACAAAACTGAAGGGAAAATGCCCCAAGAACAAGCAGGAACTGAAGACAGTTGCAGTAGAGGCCTGGCAGAGCATCACCAGGGATGAATCCCAGCATCTGGTGATGTCTATGCGTTCCAGACTTCAGGCTGTAACACCATTCACCTGATTTGGATGTAAATACCCTCAAATTAAAGCTGACAGTCTGCCGTTAAAGCACATCTTGTTTGTTTCGTTTCAAATCAATTGTGGTGGCGTATAGAGCCAAAAATGTTTGAATTCTGTCGATGTCCGTGTGTGTGTCCGTGTGTGTGTGTGTCTTTGACTTCAATGCATCATAAATTCTCCAAAGTTTCAGTTAAATATTGCCCTCCTTTACTGCTGAGACTTCTTGGCTTCTATTTACACTAGATATGCACATTTACAAATTCCTATCTCTCCAGATCATCAGGGATTTCTTAACTTTGCTGTGGAAGACAACCACCATCAGTTTGTGACCCCAGATTGTGTGTTCACAAAGGCATTTGCACAAATTTCAGGTCTTCCTAGTTCCAGAGGTTTCCCTGTCACTGTATACCAAGGCCTCCCTGGCCTTGAATGTTAACCACTTGCCATCCGGAAGATTTATAAAAAAAAAAAAAAAATTTCCTCACACAAATAGAGCTTTTTTTTGGTGGTAGTTTATCGCTTTTTTTTTTTTTTTTAAATTATAAATGAAAAAAAAAAAAAAGACTGAAAATGGAAAAAAAAAAAAAAAAAAAATGTTTCCCCCCCACTTTTTACAATAAAACATATCTAATAATATATATTAATAAATCTTCATAAATTTAGGCCAAAATGTAGTCTGCTACATGTCATTGGTATAGATACTGGAATTTTCTTTTTTATAATCGCAATGGCGGTGATCAGCGACTTATAGCGGGACTGTGATATTAGGATGGGCATTCTGACACTGAATGGGAACTGATTAACTGCTACTGACATCTCCTGTGACACTAATACAGTGATCAGTGCTAATAAAAAGCATTGTCACTGTACTAAGGACACAGGGCAGAAAGGGGTTAATATCTGGAGCAATCAAAGGGTTAACTGTGTGCCAGGGAGTGTTTTTACTGTGTGATGTTTTACTAGGGGATGTGCCGATAAAAACCAACACATCTCCACAGACAGGAGAGAAATCGGTTTTGTTTGCATTCACATATCTCTCTCCTGTCAGCTGATCCACCGATTTACAAGTACAGGAGCCAGCGACACTGTGGGTGGGCGGCCAACACACCCCATACCGGGAAAAGCAGAATTGTGTGTGTGTGTGTGTGTGTGTGTGTGTGTGTGTGTGTGTGTATGTGTGTATGTGTGTGTGTTTCTGCACAAGGTGGCCACCCTGTAGCAGTAAAACTGCTATAGGGTGGACGGCAACTGGTTAACGTATCAATTATAAAGAGGACCTTGGAGAATTTAGGCTGCTCTAACATTGAGAAGTCATCTCTGTCACAATGCTTGAATTAGTTGTGCCTTCTCCAAGATAATTTTTAAAACATCTGAGTGTCCCAGGAAAAGTTAAAAAGTTGCACACTTATTTCCAGCAACTTTGATCCCGATGTCTGTCTACCCCTGCTTCAAGGGAATGCTAGGACTGTGGGTATACACCTTCAAGGTAGTTCCATTAATACAACTGTACGTATGAACCGTGCAGCAAAAAAGCTTACCACAGCATGGGACAACTCCAGTCTCTCTGGATAAGAGGACTGTTACACTCTCAAACTAGAGAGGTCTATGTCATTGTGGCCTTCTGCCCCGGCATTTGTGGAAGGCCAATTTTTCTCACCCCTATTACAATTTAATGTCTGTTCAGGGTTGTTGGTATCAGGAGGAATCAACTCTTTTAGTCAGCACCCTAAAGTTATGAGCAACTCACTTGTCAGTTTATTGGAACCCCCATCTGACCAGTAATCCTGTCCATACTCAATAGGACAATGCCACAGCAGTGGCTTGCATCAAATATCAGCAAGCACCAGGTCTCTGGTCTTTTGTGGAGTTTCATGTTCCAACAATCTGCAGTGCACATTCCCAGAATGGAGAACTGGCAGGCAGATTTTCTTTGCAAACAATTTCTGGGCCTGGGGAATAATCTCTTCAGCTGGAGGCGTTTCGGGACATTTGTCAGTGTTAGGGAACGCTTAGTTCACCAAGAAGCTGGACATATTTGTCTCAGGATGTAGCGGATGCATTGGTGGTGCCTTGGGATCAACATACCCTGGTCTTCAAGTTTTATTCGCTAAAGCTACTACTTTGTCTAATCACGACTGAGGGAAAGGGCATTCCAGTCATTCTCATAGCTCCAGATAACCTTTGGAAAGCGTAACACAGAGGGTCAGGGGTCTGTGAGGATTGCAGGAGACATCAGAGGAAAGTGAAGTCTCTTCCTACAGCAAGATTCAGCGCTTGGCTGGTCACAGCTTTAGAACACGTGATTAAATTGAGGTAGATGGTGGTGTCTCTAATTAAAAGACATACATTTCTATTTCATTGGTGCTGCGGAAGTGCTGATATGTTCCTTTTTAGATCATGGGTTTAGTATCACTTTAAAGCCTATCGAGGACAGGCCGCAGGTTTTCTATCTGCCATTTCTTTTGGTGGTGACAGTAAAACCTAGGCTGCCTAATTAATCAAACTCTGTTCATCAATGGACAGATTAAAAAAAAAAAAAAAATCCTGTTTTACATTCCTTTAAATGTTAGGTGTAAGAAAGGAAAGAAACAAGTAAGAAGACTGAGTAAGATAAAAAGGTAGCTCGATAAAAAGACTCACCACATTACTAGAAAGGTTCAGGATCTTCAGATTTGGGGCTTTTAGATGAATTTCTGACATGTGATCCAATCTGTAGAGTTTGTTGTTACTGAGATCCAAAGATAAAAGCTGAAGTATGGGGGAAAAATAAAAAAAAAAAGTCATAATGCAAATGAATACAGCATACATGAGCATGAGGTGGATTTTAAGGCTAAAAGTGGATTTATATGCAAAAATACAAAAAGAACATAGAACACATAAATTTCACAAACACTGAGCTTCAAGAACAATTCTTTTCATCTATATTAACACGAAATATTAGCACAGGTCCTTTAGGCATCAAAAGATTTGGCAGCAAGCCACAGTAGTGCAAACCTTACTTTTTCGTCTTTTATAAAACAAGTGTGAGAAGACCCACCTCAGGCACATTCTCTTCAATAATCTGCAGCATACTCTGCATACAGGACTTCCTGTTTAGGATGAGGTCTACTTTGTTTGTCACCAGATCTAAGGAGAAACAAGCAGGATCAGTGACAGCTTTTACCAGGGTTCATTAGAACAATGCATGTAAAATGTGTACCTGGATCAGAACGCAGTGAACTCATATCTAGGGCTTGCTGGGCTCCATCATATCGCTTTTGCATACAGCGCTGTTGGTAAACACAAAAATTTTTTTCCTAAGATACAAAGTCAATTAAAGAGGGATATCAAAGAGGTAAACAAACTGATTAAAAAGTTTGTTTTATCTCTGTCCTAAGGTAGTTAAAAGGAAACTGCCAGGAAGCAAAGCCTACACCAGAAATACAGCTTTTCAAGATACTTACCAGCTCCCGGTCACAGTGCACAACCCTGGCCTGGTGGTGGTGGTGGTGGTCCTCCCTCAACCGCCTCACACCCTAGGTTGCAGGGCATCCTTGTCCAACCACCTCACCACCAATCAAAGTGACTTCCTCTTAACCACACCCCCGATCACAGCTCCTCCAATGGCACAGCACCTCCCTCCACAGCGTTCTTTGGTCCACCTCAATGCGCATCCCCGTTTACAGTACACTATTCCCCAGAAAACCAATCCGCCCGACACAGTATTTTTTACCCCGCCACCCCAACCCCCTGCTTACAGTACATTCCTCCCCAGCAAGTTCACTACCAACTTGGGGTTTAGAGCTTCACAAATATGTCAATACCCTGTGTTTAAAAGATGCATTTATTCAGTATTTTGAAAGCTGGATAACTGCCCTTCAATGTCTGCCATGAATATTTCAATTGCCACCACACAGTGCAGTATACACAGGAGAAGTGGCATTGTGTTGCGTTAAAAAATAGGCAGCACGTCATTTTCATGAGGCATCATCACTTATCAGCTGCCTCCAAACATTTCAATTGTAGCGCGCAGTAGCCATACCTATGGCATATGTTAGTCAAACATGTATGACGTGTTTGCTGGTCGCAGGGGGAGAGACAATGGAGGTTCCTGTAACCCAGAATTCACTGGGAAATAATAGAAAATTAGGACAGAGCAGCTCCAGCCACTCTCCATTTATACAGAGCAGCCGTGTGACAATACCACTTGCTTTTGTGTGCAGGCCAATGCATCAAGCCAACAAGCTATGATATCAGTGCCAGGCAGTATCAGACACATTTTACTTTATTGCCTATGGCTAAGCTTTGTGTGTCAGTAAAGCATTGGTGCCAGAAAAACCCAATACCAGTGCAGTACCCTCTTTTTCTGAAGAGCCATTCTTTGCATGATCTTGAGTTAGACCAAGGCAAGTGTCAAAGACACAAAAGTAAACAAATCACCACTCCATCAGTATTTCTTCATGGCGGGCACACTTCTACTGACAAGCAGCTTCCTTTCTCGTGCAGCTTGGCAGCCTCAGCTCTTGTACATCCTGTTCTATCCCTGCGACGTCCTGTTCCATCCCTGCAACGTTTCCCGATCTCCACTACCTACAACTCTTGTGTGGTCCATTCGGACCTAGTAGTTATGTGCCTTGCTCAACTGTATTGAGCCTCACTCTGCAAAAGCTGAGGCTGCCGAGCTGCACGAGGGAAGCCGCTAGTCAGTGGAAGTGTGCCCACCAAAAAGAAATGCTGAAGTAGTGATGCCGAGGGACAGGTTGCTTTTCTGAAGAGTTTCCTCTTTCTTCAGGCTAAAGAAAGAGGAATCCCTCAGAAACACGTCCCGACCCTTAACACCACTCCATCAGCATTTCTTCTTGGCGAGCACACTTCCACTGACAAGCGGCTTTCCCTGCTCGTGCAACAGAAGGTGAAGCAGGAAGGCGCTTCTAAGTGCAGTATTCCAGGTCAACGCTAATAAAAAGTGGTTAAAAACACAATGTAGTAGTAAAAACAGGCTCTAATGTAATCCGTCAGTAGCAGGGCTCTGTCCTCTAAACGATGGAGCCGCTGTGCCAGCCAGCAGCTGCAGTGGGAGCTTGAGGAAAGGTGTTAAAGATGGCCGCCGCTCTGTTCGGATCGCTGGAGAGCATGCTGAAATGCACGCTGTCCAAGGAGCGGAAGTGACATGAGCAGGAAGCGGTGACGCATTTTGGAGCATGAGCAGAGCTCCTTCTTCAAGACCAATCTGCTACCCCACCTTACTCGTTCTCTTTGGAGCACCTCAGGTTACTGCATCATTACCGGTGCGCCCTGCTACCCACCTTACCTGCTCGTGCAGCATCAGCTCTTGCAAAATGTCCATCCTGTTCCATCACTGCAAGGTTCTCAATTTCCCACATCTGCAACACTAGTGTGGTCCATTCTGCCCTAGTGGTTATGTGCCTTGTCACTCAACTGGACTTGTGAGTGCATTCATTTGTTTTTTGGACTATAAAAAACACTCAGTATACTATTATTCTTTGCGCTGGTTTCTCTCGTTTAGGATTTGCATCCTCTGGAGCACCCCCACTGGCCACCCAGCAGCACTGGATTTTTTCTGTGTAGCTCAGCTGTCAATTATTTACTGCCTGGTTACTCATGACCTATATACCAATTTATGACTGTAATTTGTGCCTAGTCTGAGTTACTGTTGTACTGCATTTTTATATAATTTATTATTCCATTTATCCTCCTGGGTCCTTTTTACTTTTAATTCACAAGCATGCCTGCTATCACACCACAACCTAACCATGCCTCAAAATAGATCATGTTCTCTACATCTCCTTTAACCACTTGCCTACCGGGCACTTATACCCCCTTATTTACCAGGACAATTTTCAGCTTTCAGCGCTGCCGCACTTTGATTGACAATTGCACGGTCATGCAACATTGTACCCATATGAAATTTTGATCATTTTTTTCTCACAAATAGAGCTTTCTTTTGGTGGTATTTAATCGCCACTGGGCACTTTACGTTTTGCGCTATAAATAAAAATTTCAAAAAATTTGAAGAAAAAAAAAAAAAAGTTTCTTTGTTTCCATTATAAAATTTTTCAAACAGGTAATTTTTCTCCTTCACTGATGTGCGTTGATGAGGCAGCACTGATGGGCACTGATAGGCAGCACTAATGAGGTGTCACGGATAGGCGGCACTAATATGCAGCACTGATAGGCGGCACTGATAGGTGACACTGATGATGGGTACTGATAGACGGCACTGACTGGCATCACTGCTGGGCACTGACTGGCACAACCGCTGGGCACTGACTGGTGGCACTGACTGGCTGCACTGGTGGGTGGGCACAGGTGGGTGGCACTGGTGGGCACAGGTGGGTGGCACTGGTGGGCACAGGTAGGTGGCACTGGTGGGCACAGGTAGGTGGCACTGCAGAGTGGCACAGGTGGGTGCACTGCTGGGCACAGGTGGGTGCACTGCTGGGCACAGGTGGGCGGAGCTAGTGGGCACAGGTGGGCGGAGCTAGTGGGCGCACTGCTGGGCACAGGTGGGCAGAACTTGCGGGTGGCACTGCTGGGCACCGATCATCAGGGCACTGATCATCAGTGCCCTGATGATCGGTGCCGATCCCCGCTCTGACAACTGTCGGTTCTCGGCAGTACTTTCCTCACGATCTGACAGCGTGAGGAAAGTGCAGCCGAGAACCGGCACTTGCATTTCCCTGTGATCAGCGTGTCATTGGACACCGCTGATCACGTGGTAAATGGCCACTGTGATTGGCCTTTTACCACATCACGTGATCAGCTGTGTCCTTAGGACACAGCGATCACGGAGATCGCCGGGTGCGCGCCCCCTGGGGCGCGCAGGAGAGCGCGTTCTGGGAGGACGTCATATGACGTCCACTCAGAATTGGCCGGCCGCAGTGCAGCCGTCATTCGGCTATCTGCGGTCGGCAGCTAGTTAAGCACTAACTACTAGAAAAACAACACTTTTATGTGCAATTACCAAGCATTCTTGATGTTTCAAAAACATGTCAAAATGCTTTAGGTGTGTAAATGAGCGTTGCCTCGTTTTTCATAATCAACACGTGATTGATGAGCCCTTTCAGAGCATCCCTGTCAATGCTGCCTCTGTCCTCCAAAACCTCTATGCTACAATTCAATCTAAAAATAAAAACTTGGTGTGCAGCTTAAAGCACTGCAAAACCTACCCTGCAGTAGAAAGAAAAAAATCAGGTGCCAACGTTCAAACAAGCTCATCCAGGCTGCCTGAAAGCAGATCAGAAAACACTGTGGCTCTGGTGTGCACAGTTTACACTGGGACGGAGAGCAGAAATATTTTATTTTTGTGTTTTGTTGAACCCAACAGTGTGTCAAGCAGTCAGCTTTTCAGCTTAATTAAATCTAGGAGTTCCTGTACCCCGCAGGGGGTGGAAGATTAGGTTGATCTCAGGCACACATAGGGAGGTGTCATGCAGCTGGAAAAGCCAGACGTGTCGGCATCGGCTGTTTGAGGTTTGATGAATTGAAGGAATATATTTTTCCCTTTGCTGGCAGAAAGGCTCAGACCTTTTTCTGAGTTTACTCCTGTGATAAACACACAAGAGCTGAGGGCTGCAAGTCTTCCTAGAAGGAAGTTAGAAGAGAAGCAGAACTGCTGAGAAAGATAGTCTTGTATGGGTTGTGCTTCACTTTCTGAGCTGCAGGAACTTGTAGTTTCATATTGCCTATGTGGATTCCTGGACACTGGGACTCTGCTCTTCCTGCAACTGTTGCCTATGTGGTCAGGATGCTGTGGTCAGGACAACAGAGCCCTCCGAGGACCCGTGATCAAGTCCCTGAATTGCTGCCCTGTGCCCCTGGACTTTGCTGTACCAGTCTGTGACCTGTGACTCACTGTGCCTGAATGGATTGTTGCTTTTGACTCTGGATTAACCCTATTCTGCCCAGAACCTTTTGCCCTGTATGCTGAACTTAACTCTGCTCTGCCTGGAACCCTTTGCCCTGTGTGATGGACTTAACCCTTTGTCTGCTGGAGTTCTGCCATCCCTGTAGTGTATTACAGATTTACCCCTTTGCCTACCAGAACTCTGCTTTCCTTGCCTTTCAATAAAAGCCTTGTGTGTATTCCTACTCTCCATGTGTGTTCTGTTGCACCCACCCCTCTGTCACATACACCTTCTATTTTCCAGTCTGAAAATAAGCTCTGCCCCACAACTGTCCCCTGTTCCGCCTCCATCTATTGCCACCCACTCCTGGCTCCAGCAATCAGCTCCACAAGCATCCCATGTGCTGCCGATGTCCCTTATCAGCTGTACACTACACACCACTCCACACACATACTCGGATTGAAATAGGTACATTGTTAATGGTATATGAAACGTATACTGTGATATGTTATGCATGGCATTTAGCAAGACATTTAAAAACTACTTTAAAATGAGGTTAACAGGACATTTTTTTTATATTTTACAATTACTTCTTGCAGCCAATAAGTATCAAATTTACAAAATTTTTCACAAAAATATTGGGTTTTATACCAATTAAAATAATAAACGCATTAACCAAAACCATTATAGTCTACTATGCAAATACCTTAAAATGAGCATTTTCCTCTTCAGTCATTTGTATTTCTTTTGCTTGAGCAGGGGGTGGAGATGGTTGTATAAGTATTGTAATCTGAAGAGCAGAGAGTAAAAGCCAGATATTACAGTTATTCCTAGCTTCTTCCAAAATATAGGAAAACTAATGAAAAGTATGCACCAAACGTAATATCGGATGCCATAACCAGTAGGGATTAAATAAGTTTAGCCAAGAGTTGCATACCTTGAAGTTATCTCTGTCAGTAAAAGTCCTTGAGATCTGTTTCAGAGCTTTTGCAACAGCTGCATCTTCCACATAGAAGTGGGACCGAGAATGGTCACAATGATACTATGTATGAAGTAAAAAAACACGTTATAAAACAGGGAAGTGGATTTTTAAGAGAAAATACCATAAAAGTGGAACAAGCAAACAGAGAATGAGATACTTAGGTAGTGACCTCATAATTTAACTCACCCCTATAGGAGAAAAAGGCAGCGAACAGGCACCTTGCAAAAGGCCTATCAACCAATCCTTCTCATATTTTTTGCCATATGGAATCTGTTCAGAGAAAGACAAGAAACAGAGAATATTTAAACATTGCTGTAAAGTGATCTATAGCCAAACCAACATAACGAAAGCACTTCAAAAGCCAAGAACAGTCGAAAGGAATACCACCCCACTGGTCCAATTCCAAAGACATTTTACAAAAATACTCAACTTGCTTGTACACTTTAAATAAAGAGAATGGTTGATTATAACTCATCCATCTATAAAGCCAAAAATTTTTTTCATAATTGTAGATAGATAGGGAATGGTTAAAACAGAAAAAAAGGGAGTATTTTACAGTAAGTGGAAATCACCTTAGCCGATTGTCCCCATTATTCCGGTTTCAGTGACAACTAGAAATGTTACTTTTTTTAAATCACCAGACCCGGTAGCAGTGGCAACCAGGAAAAACAAACATCTGATAAGGGTTTCTTCCCTTCCCCACTCTATCCAAAACTTAAAAAAAAAAAAAAAAAAGATAATTTTTTACTCTGTGTAAAATTTTCATAGAGTCTGTCAGGGGCACAATGAGTCTTAAACCTTCAGGCTATACTGCTGCCTACAGAAGTGTTGAACACTGGCAAACAAACTATATATATATATTAGCCCAGGGTGTAACCCCTCCTACTAACTGTATGCCTTAGTTTTGTAGCAAAGCAGTACCAAGAGTATGATTATGAACATACAGTAAATGATTGGGACTTGTGTTCCTAAATGAACAGGGAAAAAAAAAGGAATTATGACCAACCTTTAAAATTCCATATACAGTACAGGACTTGCAGACATGGGTTATATGCCACTACCTTCCGGTGAGTGGACACTGGTAAAAGCTTTGCTAGGAATGTCCCCAGTGCTTAACACCACACCCTCTGAGACTCCAGTTTTTTAACAATAAGAAAATACAGAGGGCAGACAGAAGAGACTGGTGTCATGTACTGTACTCCCAAGATATGGAATTTACAGGCAAGTCTTTTTCTTAAAATTGTACAGGACAGGACTTGTGGTCCTAGACCATGATATGCCCCAAGCAATCAACTGAGGCATCAGCATAGCAAACAGACCCAAAGAAAACAAGGGTCAACAGACCTGAAACAAGCAGATGACAACCTGAAAACACCTTGTGCCAAAGCCTGCATCAGCAGAGGCCTGAAGATCACCTCAGTAAAACTTTAAAGGGTATGAACAGAGGACCAGGTGGTAGCCTTGCAAACCTGTGAAAGATACTTGGTGCTAAAAAGACCAAGAACACAGATCTGGTGAAGTGGGCCCTGATAGGAAAAGGAGGAATGCTTTTCATGAGGGCATTAGCACTGGAAATGAGCCATCTACGCCACTTACCAATGCCGAAACAGGAAGCAGGATGTCCCTTCTTGGGAACTTCAGGGAGTACAAAAGGAGGGCTGTTTTTCGGAAAAAAGTTATAGCAGCTAAGTAAACTAACTGCTCGGACTAAATCCAGGCAGGGGAGTGAAACTTCCTTGGCTTGCTTCGATGCAGGACATAGGAAAAAAAAGAGGATACTATTCTCATATTGAGGTAAACAGAAGAGACCAACCTTGAGGAGGAAGCAGGGTCTGGGTTCAAGACCACTTTGTCTCAATGTAAGATAAGAAAAGGTTCCTTACAAGAAAGGGATGTCAACTCGAAGACACACTTGACCGAGGTAATGGAAAAAAAAGCCATCTTATTAGCGAGATCCCCCAGTAGGATATCCAGAATCGGTTTGAAGGGAGGTTTTTGAATAACCCAATGAACCAAAAGTACCAGATATAAATCCCAGGGTGACACAGGAGGTGCAAGTACAGGGCTGACATGAGCAACACCCTGGACAAAGGTCTTGACGAGAGAGATTAAAGCCAAATTTTAAAATAGAATGGCTAAGGAAGAAACCATTCACTAGAGGATGAAGAATGAGATGCTGGTCTAGACCAGACTGGAGAAAGGCTAGGATGCAGGAGATAGAATATTCATGGGTGTTGAGATACCATTACACCAGCCAACATGTGCCTTCCAGGTGTGATGGTAGAGCCTACCATCACAGGGATTTTCGTAATTCGCAGAGATTTCCTCTCACTTCCTTCTGGCTATGGGACATGAAGTGAAGAGAAAGCTCAAAATGGGACACAGCTTTACTTTAGGAGATAATGTGAATAGAAGAACAGGTGGTACTCTTGCATATTTGGAAAACAGAGGACTGATGCCAAAAGCCCATGAGGGGCTTAACTGAAAAGGAAGGAAACTGCTCGTAAAGGCTGATAAGTTTTTTTTCACAGAAAATATTTGTTGCCACCAATTGCTAACACCAGCAATTAACAGTGTTCTGTAAGTAGGGATTTAATCACTAGAGTCACTTGTGATTTGCTACGGCTGTGGGTTATGCGCTGCTACAAATCGTTTTCATTTAGCAGTTTGTAGCAAAGCACAGCGATTGCTGAAACGCTTTACAGAAAAAGCATTAAAAAAGACTGTTGCCAGTGATTTTGCTGCACATCCAAAATGCTGATAAATCTCAATTGGAGTGAAAGCAAGTGATCCCATAGAAAATGATGATTTTTAGTGAGGAATTGCTGGAACAAAAATGGAAGAGCAACGGGTAATCACTGTGAGAAAATCCCAGAGTGAAAATAAACCTGAATATTGTTCTGTCAGAACCAGCTAGAGGTCGTGGAATAAGTCAGAAAAAATGAGGAAGGGTTGTAACAGCGCAAACACTGCAAAGTCCTGGGAAATGGTAGTATGGGTGATGGTGGTATTAGTGGCTACTGTATGAAGAGCGTAGGATTCCGTGTGGCACTGAGGGCAAGGCTTCCAAATAAGCTGTAGCAACTTCTGTAGATGAGAAAAAGGAGAGAAGCGCCTCTAAGTGCAATAAGTCTTTTAATTCAAGTCTAAATGTAGAAACACTCACATGTGTGAAGTAATCATAAGCATAAAAACCGTGGTTAACAATAGTTAACGGTGGGGTGGTAACCCGGGTGAAGAGCCGTCATCTCTCTGCGATGTGGGGAGGTCAGCTCTTGGCTGGAACAGCGTGGTGGCTGGAGGGGGAACAGTGGTGAGGCCAGCCTTCATGCACGTCCTCCCTCAAAGCCGGATGGAACGCACGCTGGAACGTAGCGGCGGCGTGGCCGTGATGACGTCAGATCTCAGGGTGCACTGCGACGCGTTTCGGAGCATGCACTGGCCGTGGAAGGCAGAAGTGCACTCCTTTTTCAAGCAGGGGGAAGTGGATGAACAGGGGTGAATATATAGGGAACGTGAGTCTAATTGATCAAGTAGCTGGGGTGCCTGGGCCTAGCCAGGATAACGAAAAAAAAAAAAAAAAAAAAAGGGGAATCAATCTCCCTGAAAGAAGCAATGGCTGAAAGATAGTCTCGCACAGCCCAAAACGCATCCAAACAATAGAGGGAAATTTACTTTTGATGAACTGGAGCCAAAAAGTGACAAAAGAGCACTGTCATAGTTGCAAAAAAAAAATATTTAATAAAATTGCATCTTAGCAATTTTTAAATGTGATGGCTGCGTTATTTTTCTTTCATTTTTTTCACCTTGTGATCCATCCAGTGAGTGTCATTTTTTACCTTCGTTTAACTAGTTCATTTCAATACTATGTAGTGCAAGGAGTGAAGGCTTAAGCACAAGCTGAAGGCTGCACTAGCAGCCATCAGATCGTGTCCATTTTCAGTCTGTTTCCAGCTGTAAAGTGATCAGGTGGCTGTATAGCTACAAATCATATTCACAGTAGACTGCAAGAAAAATCACAGGATTGTTTTCAATATAGTAGAGCTAGGAAAAAAGTAGATAATCACTTTGAAAATGTTGGGGGACTCATGTGTAAGCAACTTTTTAAAATTGAATTTCCCTTATATGACACATGCAAGTGAAAAAAAAAAAAAAAAAAAAAAAAAACGCATTAACGTCACAATGTTGAACAGCCTCTACATCTTTAGTATGTCAACCCCTGTCAGAAGAACAGCAACAAAGTATAAAGCACAAGCACATACAGTACCTGGGCATAATGTAGCAGCCTTAAAAACCTTAACGCAGTTGAATCTTTGCCCATATAGACAGGCACAACTTCAACACTCCACACCATACTGATGCTTACCCGCTCCTAACCATCTCTCGTACACTATTGGCCAATCACTATGATGGACAGTCTACAGAGCCAACAGCAATGTGCAGGTGGCTGGAAGTACATCTGCACTTTCAGGAAATGCCTAACTTTTGTGCATCAGAACGGCTCAAGCTTTGCATGTGACATTCAAGTTTTGAATGCTGCTGCAGTTATCAAAATAACAGAAAAAGAAAGGCTTCTCCAACATAACTGACTAAAGCTTTTTCTCTTTCTAGACAACCCAGACTTCCCTTTTGCACATGGGACTACTTCCTGCATTGTTCTTGTGGACAATCTTACCCTCACTCAATGTCTTCAACAACATACCATTTAGGCCCTCATAATTATTGCATCCTGACCTTCCTCCTAAAAAAGGTGCATGGCCCCAATACCAACAGCTTACTCACGCTGTTAGAACTTTTTCTTGGCACAACCAAATATATCGCTCGCCAACTCTCTTTGAACAAATGTGTCAGTCTGGAGAGATTCCTTACAACATTATATCCTTTTTACTCTCAAACACACAGGCCAACAATTTATATTTCTTAGGGAAATGTGAGAAGGGATTGAATATCTCTCTCACAGAGGAAACTAAATTAATGTGCTTCCCAATTACCCACACTTTGTATGGCCAGCTCTGTTCAGGAGAGGCATTTCAAACGTCTAACCTGTTATAGGTTACCTCAAAGACCACATCAAATTTCTTAAACCAACTCGAACCTATGCTACCGCTGTCTAAAGGATGGCACTCTTACTTTAATCTTGTATCCCCTTAGATTGACCCCTAAGGGACAAGGAGACTTAAATACATACTAAAGTCACACCTGACACGCTTAAACTTACCCCAACAATCACACTGCTTAGAACGGTTACCTGCGCAGTAAGATCACAAATTCCTTGATATTGCCAGGCGCCAATAACCCCGACTGTGCAGGAATGGGTAGCTGCAAGAATGGGTAGCTGAGGTATGCCAAATGACGGGAAAGGAGGAACAGATTGCTCAAAAGCAGGACAAAAAAACTGTTTGAATCAAATGGACCCTTCAGAACCTGTACAACAGGGGTCTCCAAGAGGGAACTCTTATAGAGACCACAAAACGTAAGGGGTTCTCAGAAGTGTTAGGGAGGCTACTGATACGATGGGGAGACATCTGATACCAAGTTATTTATTGGAGCAGGCTCCTTTGTTCATATAAATTTTGTTACATTTTTTAAACAGATTTATTTTTCCAGGCTGCAAATATTTGTGAAAAATACATTGGGGTCCTTATAGTGAATATTTTGGAGATCCCTGCTCTACACGGACATTTATGACTTCAAGGGCCTAGCATGAACCTATACTAAGATGCAGGCACGCCCATCTGCCTGGTAAAACAAGACATATTCGAGCAATCATTGAATGTACCCCCCTGTGAACTCATCCCCAATATAAGGTTATACCTCCCCTTCCTTATTTCTCCTGGCATACCTCCTACCCCACTCTCCCTCCTCTTCTATTCTTGGCTTCCCAAGTCATCTGGATGAAACATAGCAGGCATTAAGGTACCCTTGTATCTTCACAATTAAGATTTCCTGGTCTCCAATGACTACTGTAACGTTACGTCACCTTTTACCCCTTATGTTCATCAGATTTATATAGAAGACCTTCCTGGTTTTGAGCTAGGACGCAAGGCGAATTGGTCTCGTCACTGACATGTACTAACGTTATGCAGAGCTAATCTATCAGATTACTAATCAATGTTTATTTATGAAGGTACATCTCTCTTTTCTGTACTTTAGTATATAATGTTCATAAAACACAGAGAAAAAAAAAAAACATTTAAAAGTAAAAAAGGAGAACAAAGAAACAACACAAAAAAATAATATAGTTTGGGGCTGGTTGCTACTGGAAGCATTTCAGACATATGTGGCCAAGTGTTCAAAGAGAGGGAGAACACTTTTCTGCTGCTCTTACCGTAATCTTGTACCAGCTGTCCTTGTCACCTCTAACATCAGTTCTAGCATTATGCAAACTATCCCTAGCAGGATTTCCATGCAAAGCTCCTCTGTTGTCTCTTCCTTGTCTTTCATCTCTTCTCCTACCCCCACGGTTGTAAGGATTACTAGAAGTGGGATAAGAAAAGATGAACTTGTAAAAAGCAGCAGAATATAACTCTGTATGGACACTGTTGAAAACACATTGCCAACTTTTTGTTGCACATTAAACAGTGCTGATTTTAGAAATTATTATTATAATATATATATATATATATATATATATATATATATATATATATATATATATAATATATATATTTTCTTATTTTTAGTGCTCATGATATAAAACATTTAGCTGTATAAAATAACTAAGCTAACACTAGGATTCAACCAATTCTCAGCCCATTAAGGTAACAAATTTAATAAAAGGCGACCAATGCTAACCTCTCTTCCTAAAAATGCAAGTTACAAGACTATTATGCTAATAGAGAGGCTTCAGTACAGACAGCCTTATACTGTGTAAGTAAGCAAATCAGATCTGATTGCACTCTGCCTCTTTGACCTGCATGATTCCAGACCAGCGGTTCAAAGCACTAAAGCTACAATCACCCAAGAAAACAGCAATTCAGACAGAAGCCAACAGCTGCTTACATTTTCCACTCAGTTTCGGTTTCCTTTAAACAGCCAAAACAAATAAAATTACAGAACTAATCCTAGCTATAAAAAGCAGAGATACGTACAACCGTAAACGGACTGTGTCATGTACATCACTCATAGCCACATCTCCATCTCCATCATCTAGTCGGGAACGAGGATTAGGTTGGTAATTGCCACGATTTCGGTTCCTTGGACCTGCTTCACTATACATTTTTGCACGGAACGGCCCACGCCCCTTCCGCTTCTTTGGGAAAAAGTTTCCACCAACCCGGTCATCGTGGTCTAAAAATTAAAAAAAGAAGAAAATTCAAAAACAGCAAGAAAACAAACAAAAAAAAAAACACACACCACACAAAAAAGAGAAAAGCACCAATTATTCAAGTAGTAATTAACTTTAATTATCATGTATTTGTGACATATATATTTTTTGACATTTCAATGAACTTGTAAAAAAAAAGGAAAATGAGTTGTGATGCGTTGTAATTGGCACCGTTTGCTTTCAATCGCACACTAGTGGCTGCAGTAGGATGCGGCCAATGGGGTGAACCATAATGAGAGAAATGGGAACAGCACTGAAAATCCTTTCAAAATACTACTTACACAGATTCCATGCTGAGCCTGTGATTTCAGTGCATTTTGATTTACTGCACAGAAATACAAGATTTTAAAAGCCAAGTAAAATTTTTTGAGCAGAATGTCATTTTCATAATAAATAGAAGCCTTTTCTAATGTCTCCCCGAGCCATCCTAATATCTTCATCTTCCACTTACCTAGTCCATGGCACCCCTGAATCTGCACCCTCGCTTATTAAAATGTCAAAAGATGCATTTTGAGCCCTTCAGCATCATGTGACCATCCAGGAAGCTTCATATACCGTCATGCACTGCCTTACTGCATCATAGAATAGGGTGCGTTTTACCTCTCTGGATCATGCCTTCCTCATTACTAATTTTAGAAAGCACTGCAGCAGTGATAGTGAAAAGGGTGGGTGGGAGCAATCTCCTGGAGCAGAAGGGCAGGAGAAAGGTGTATTAATGAGGTCAGCTGCTAAAGAAGTTCCTCACTCTACTATCGGGCTCTGGTGTCATGCACAATTGATATTATACAGTATTTATATAGCGCTAAAAGGTTTGCTCAGCGCTGTACATTATAGTGGGGGACAGAACATGAGACAATACAGTAACAAAACAAAACACGAGGGGTCAAGGGCCCTTCTCTTTCGAGCTTACAATCTATGATATCAGAAAGACTAAAAGAAGAAAGGTGAACTTAGCCTTTAAATTCACTTGACTGCATGTTTATTCCAGGTCTGCGACAAAGTGTTGAAGCCAGAGGCAGTCACTATAGTATTCTAAATCAACTCTAGCAAAGCATTTTATTTAGTAGTTTTAAATACAGCGGGTAAGGGTTAAAGTCAATTTCAGGTTTTACTACCATTTGTGCCCCTATCGGGGCCAACACAGCCTGGTATAGATTTTGGGGGTTACCCATTTTTCTTTGGTGTGGGGTCCCCTTTAAAATCCATGCTGGGCCCTAAAGGCCTCCCCCCCCCCCCCCCCCCCCCCTTTGCTTACATTTTACAGCCAGCTGGGAATCCTCAGCTGACAGCAGGAACGAGTCATTGATTGTTAAAATGCAGAAGGGGGCCAGATATTTAACAACAACCTGTCTCCTTCCCCTACCAAAAAATGCAGTAGTATAAAAAAAAAAAAAGTCGCACTGCATAATCGTAGTAATAAAGGCAAAAAAAAAAAAGTCTCAAATTGCAGGCAGGAATGACAGAATCTGAGATTTCTCTGTCCCGTAAGACCTGGGCTTCAGCTGCCATGCTTTTAAAGTCAGTAACTGAGAAGGATGCATGAGAGGGCCCGGAGGCAACAGGCCTGGCCTATTTGGAAGAAGCCAGATATCGTCTCATTAAAGTCAGAGTACATCCGTGTAACAGATTCATCTGGGCCAGTTTTGCGCAAAGAGAATCCGTGTTTTGTGTCTTGCTCAAGAACCAAATCCAGGGAATATATAATCTTTTATTGCATTTTCCACTACAAAAAAAGAACAAACCTAGTACAAAAACACTTCACATATACAGTCATGGCCGAAATTGTTGGCACCCTTGATATTTCTCCAGGAAATCATGTATTTCTCACGAAACGTATTGCATTAACACATGTTTTGCTATACACATGTTTATTCCCTTTGTGTGTATTGGGACAAAACAAAAAAAGGGAGGAAAGAAAGCAAATTCGACATAATGTCACACAAACCTCCAAAAATGGGCTGGACAAAAGTATTGGCACCCTTTCACAACTGCGGATAAATAAGAATGTTACAAGCATGTGATGCTCCTGTAAACTCACCTGGGCAAGTAACAGGTGTGGGCAATATAGAAATCACACCTGAAAGCAGATAAAAAGGAGAGACGTTCACTTAACCTTTGCATTGTGTGTCTGTCTGTGCCACACTAAGCATGGACAACAGAAAGAGGAGACGAGAACTGTCTGAGGACCTGAGAACCAAAATTGTGGCAAAATATCAACAATCTCAAGGTTACAAGTCCATCTCCAGAGAACTAGATTTGCCTTTGTCCACAGTGCGCAACATTATCAAGAAGTTTGCAACCCATGGCACTGTAGCTAATCTCCCTGGTCGTGGACGGATGAGGAAAATTGATGAAAGATTGCAACGCAGAATAGTCCGGATGGTGGATAAGCAGCCCCAAACATGTTCCAAAGACATTCAAGCTGTCCTGCAGGCTCAGGGAGCATCAGTGTCAGCGCGAACTATCCGTCGACATTTAAATGAAATGAAACGCTATGGCAGGAGACCCAGGAGGACCCCACTGCTGACACAGAGACATAAAAAAGCAAGACTACAGTTTGCCAAAATGTACTTGAGTAAGCCAAAAGCCTTCTGGAAAACGTCTTGTGGACAGATGAGACCAAGATAGAGCTTTTCGGTAAAGCACATCATTCTACTGTTTACCGAAAACGGAATGAGGCCTACAAAGAACAAAACACAGTACCTACGGTAAAATATGGTGGAGGTTCAATGATGTTTTGGGGTTGTTTTGCTGCCTCTGGCACTGGGTGCCTTGACTGTGTGCAAGGCATCATGAAATCTGAGGATTACCAAAGGATTTTGGGTCGCACTGTAGGGCCCAGTGTCAGAAAGCTGGGTTTGCGTCCAAGATCCTGGGTCTTCCAGCAGGACAATGACCCCAAACATACGTCAAAAAGCACTCAGAAATGGATGGCAAAGAAGCGCTGGAGAGTTCTGAAGTGGCCAGCAATGAGCCCAGATCTAAATCCCATTGAACACCTGTGGAGAGATCTTAAAATTGCTGTTGGGAAAAGGTGTCCTTCCAATAAGAGAGACCTGGAGCTGTTTGCAAAGGAAGAGTGGTCCAAAATTCCGGGTGAGAGGTGTCAGAAGCTTATTGATGGTTATAGGAAGCGACTGATTTCAGTTATGTTTTCCAAAGGGTGTGCAACCAAATATTAAGTTAAGGGTGCCAATACTTTTGTCCAGCCCCATTTTTGGGGTTTTGTGTGACATTATGTCATATTTGCTTTTCTGCCTCTGTTTTATATTTGTTCCAATACATACAAAGGGAATAAAACATGTGTATAGCAAAACATGTGTTAATGCAATACCTTTTTTGTGTGAAATACTTGATTTTCAGGAAAAATATCAAGGGTGCCAACAATTTCGGCCATGACTGTACATAATTCCATTTTACATTGCCGTATCCCCTACCCCATCGTCGTCGCCCCCCCCCCCCCCCCATCCAATTACCCCGTCCACATCTACCTAGTCTCTATCCTCTCTCATGGTTATCTATCTATATCTCTTCTCTCCCACCTCTCTCTCTCTCTCTCTCTCTCTCTCTCTTTCAGGTACTCCGTTAAACTCTCTCTAGAATTTTCCCCCTAGACTCCAACAAGTTCCAGACATATTTTAGATATTTTAAACGTTTACCAACTACTCCACGCTTTCCTAAATTTTTCTATTTTATCCTCCTCAATGTGATAGAATTTCTCTATCCTATAAATATTTTCAACTGTTTATCCAATCATTTATGCTTGGTGGCTCCGGAGCTTGCCAGAACTTAGGAATCAAGCCCTTAGCCACACTGATTAAATGATATAGTACCCTGTTTTTATGCAGTTTCACTAAAGGCTCGAAATTATAAAATAAACACATCCACGGGTCTTTCTGTATGGTGATCCCACATATTTCCTGAATATATTGGGTTATTCCCTTCCAGTAATCCTGAATTTTCAGGTAATCCCATCATACATGTGCCATTGTTCCCTTTTCCCCACAACCTCTCCAACATAAAAGGTGAAACATCTACTTGTTGTTTATGTGCCACACTTGGTGTAATATACCATCTCACCAAACAGTTCGTTTCAACTGTGCTCATATTCATCACCTCATGTGTTAGTTTAAATATTTTATTCCTTTGTTACTTATTCAATTCTGTTCCAAGCTCCTTTTCCCAAGAACTGAGGAGGATCAGCTCATTCCATATCCATAAGGATCTTATAAATCCTGGAGGTGACTTGTTTTGGAACTGTAACTATGTTCAACAGTTTTACAAATGGATACAGATTCTCCAATGTCTTCAGTGGTTGTGGGAGCATTGAAACAAAATGACCTAATTGACAATACCGCCACTCATCTAATGTGAATAATAGATCTTTTTTTCTTCTTTAAATCTTGAAAAGTGTGCAATTTCCCTTTATTCAACATGTCCTTCAAAATGTGCATTTTTCTCTTTAATCCATTTCCTGGAGATACTATCCTTCCCTGGGGGGAAATACTCCGCTCCCACCAAGGGAGTCAATACGGAATTATATTTCCATCCTTTTTGCTTATACAGTCTATCCCAAACACTTAAAACTTTCTTTGTCAATGGACTGGTATTCACCTCCAATATGCAAAATTTATGTGGTATCCAAACAATCTTCCCTAACCGTGCCTTACTTAAAATCCCTTCCATATTAACCCAGTCTTTCCCTTCGTAAATTAAATGTCCAATCTACTATTCGTGATAAAATCACCGCTAAATAATAATTCCTAACATTAGGCAAACCCAACCCCCCATTCCCTTTTGCCCTACACAAAACCTCATGCCTAATTCTCCGTTTCTTATTTGCCCATATAAACCTGAATATCATCTTCTTTATTATCCCAAAGAAAGACCCTGGTAGGTGTACTGGGAGCATATGAAGCTTTTACAGAATTTTTGGTACTATCACCATCTTTACCAGGTACAT